ACGGATCAGACATAATAGAAAAGAGACGAGGAGGACAAGGAGGATGAATCTGATGATGAGGAGGAGGAGGAGAAGGAGGAGGAGGAGGATGCGGAGGAGGATGAGGAGGAGGAGAAAGATACTGAAGAGGAGGATGAGGAGGAATAGAACGAGACGGAAGAGGGGGAGGAAGAGGAGGAGGAGGAGACGGAGGAGAGGATGATGCTGCCGAGGATGCTGATGATCATGATGCTGCTGCTGATGATGATTGTGCTGCTGCTGACGAACATGATGGTGATGATGATGAGGAGGATGAGACGGAGGGGGAAGAGGAGGAGAAGCCTGCGGCGACGGAGGAGGAGGCTGATGAGGAGGATGCGGATGATGATGAGACGGAGGAGGAGGAGGAGGAGGAGGAGGAGGAGGAGGAGGAGGAGGAGGAGGAGGAGGAGGAGGAGGAGGAGGGGAGGAGGGGGATGATGAGGAAGAGGAGGACGAGGCGGAGGAGCGGGATGAGACGGGGGAGGACGAGGAGGAGGATGAGGAGGAGGATGCGGAGGAGGAGGAGGAGGCGGAGGAAAAGTATGAGGATAATGATGAGGATGAGGATGAGGATGCTGGTGAGGATGAGGATGCTGCTGCTGATGATGATGATGACGAGGAGGAGGCTGAGGAGGAGGAGGCGGAGGAGGAAGAGGAGGATGAGGCGGAGACGGAGGCGGCGGAGGCGGAGGAGGCGGAGGAGGCGGATGAAGAGGAGGAGGAGGAGGCGGGGGAGGAGGAGGAGGAGGCGGAGGGGCGAGAGAGGAGGAGCACTGAGGAGAAAGAAGAGGACAGGGAAGAGGAGGAAGAAGATGAGGACGATGAGGGGGATGAGGAGGCGAGGGATGAGGAAGGGGAGGAGGAGGAGGATGAGGAGGATACGGATGCTGATGCTGAGCAAGCGCAGGAATAGGAGAAACATGCGGAGAAGGACGCGGCGGAGGAGGAGGAGGAAGAGGAGGAGGAGGAGGAGGAGGATGAGGAGGCGGAGGAGGGAGGAGGAGGAGGAGGAGGAGGAGGAGGAGGAGGAGGAGGAGGAGGAGGAGGAGGAGGAGGGAGGAGGAGGAGGAGGAGAGGGGGGGTGAGAGAGGAGGAGAAATGAGGAGAACGAAGAGGACAGGGAAGATGTGGAGGAGGACGAGGGGGAGGAGGCGATGGAGGAGGAGGGGGATGAATAATCTGAGGCGGAGAAGGATGAGGATGCTGAGCAAGAACAGGATGATGATGATGATGCAAGCCCGTGGAGGCCAGGTCAAGCCTGGGCACGGCATCACATTCAAGCCTGGGGGAACTTGCCGCCACTCTTGGGGGGAAGGCCACGAGCCAACCTGGACAGGACCTCCCTCCCAGCCTTCGTGGGGGGACGATCAGTCTTACAGGGTTTGGCCAGGCTTTGCACATTGCGCCCACTAGCATGGGCACCACAATGCTCGCAATACAGCACACCGCGGAGCACATTCAACCTATGATTGCCCGCGCACGAAGGATACAAAGGGTGCGCGAGCGGATCAGAGGAAAGGTGAGCGGGTCCGAGACAGGGACCAGGACAAAAGTCCTGGACGCGGCCCTTCAATCTGAATCGACGCTCACAGATCTGGCAGCGGAGAGCCGTACCCTTCAGGGTCGGCTCATGACCCGCACTCCTCATTCTCCTAAGGCGGACCTGGAAGGCAGGGATAGGAGGGGGCCGAGGGGGAGGACGGCCGAGCCGATCAGAAACACGGCGGGGGTTCTGCTCCACAACCTCCCGATGCACCGCCAGAAGGCGGTCAAGCGTGTGAGACGTGACACGATCAACAAACGCCGTCACATCAACTTGCTCGGGGGAGGGGGCCACACGTTCAGTGGCCCACCCCGCAAAGAAATCAGCACACCAATTAAGGAAAAAATCCTCCTCCCCAGTGGCGAATTGGGCCCTCTGGTGGGTCGTCGAGTGGCTCTTGGTCCACAGGACGTCGACTGAACCAGGACCTCGATCGTTTAAGGCCGACCAGATCCGAACCCAAAGATCGAGCATCGAGCTGCTAGCCACGATCTGAGCTCGTGGCTGCCTTAGCCCTCTCACCAAGGGCACATAATCAGAGTAGCACAATATATCACCCACAGTATGACTCAGAACCATGATAAATGCATACAGTTCAGCTCGGGGACTAGACTGCTCCAAGGTAGGAAGACCACCGCACATAATGGTATCCAGCTGCAACGAGAGACCATCTGGAACCCCAAGACTGACTATAGCCCAACCGCATCGCCTCAACCTCTTATCTCTGGCGTGAACCCCTCCAGAGCCATCAAGGCCCCACACACCTCCAGGAACCCGGCGCTGAGCCCTCAGGGTGCCCCATGTCCAGGTACAAGCAGAGGGTGGAGGTAGGTGACCACAAGATGCATCAAGGCAGGGTACCCCACGAGTAAAGAAAGCACTATGAGGGTCAGCAGCAAGGGCATCAAAAACCAAATATTCACTATTCTCAATACTCGGATCAGTCAAGTACAGGTTACTCGGACATCCCCAACAACGGTGCAGAGGTGTTTCCCGCGCGTCACCACATCGGAAACAACGGCCTGAGGTCAAATATCCACAGTCCTGCAGACGCGACTCGGGCCAAGCACCCCCGACAGCAATCGTAATCAAAAGGGCGGCGCCCTTAAAGTCGCCGTCGTCGAGCAACTTCTTGTGCTTGGCACGAAGCACAGTAAGGTCAGCACCTGTCTCTAGGCCTTGCCCGCAGAAGTGCTGAGCGGCCTTGGCCCAGACAGTGGACGAGCAAGACTCACGGACAGCCGAGGTAAGATGATATCTGAAATCTGCATCAGTCAACCTAAGAGTGACACCAACACTTGCACGCCACTCATCAACACGTCGTGGTTCCCATCCTAGATCCAGAACAGTAGCACACAGGGCTGCAATGGGACCTCGAACGAGACGCCACCGACTCGACTCCTGCGACTTACCGATCGTGTCGTGCAGGGCCTCCCAGACTCTCCGAACTCCAGACCGAAGACCTTCAGGAAGAGAAACCCAAACTTCCGAAATCAAGGTAAGTTGTTCAACACGGAGCCGATCAACAGGATCATCTTTAGTATCATGCAACACTCGCAACACAGTGCAGTGCTAACACAAGCCCCAGACGACCAAAATCCAGAGCACGCTGCTGCCGAGGATCTGAACTGCCCAAGAGCACCCGCAGGAAGCCCAAGGAGAGCATGGCCCCAGGTACCCACAGCCAAAATGCCTGGCTTGAAAACCTTACGAGAAGCCCCACAAAGCTTGGCAAGGTAACTCAACTTCCTGGCACGACGGAAAGCGAGCGAGCGTCTCTGCTGGACCTTCCAGGTGGATCGCCTTTTATTGGCAGTAGTGACAGATCCAAGATCCTTCACTCCATCAGCAAAAGAAATGGAGACTTCATATCTCCAGAACTCGTCCTGCAGGAGCCGCTGCAGCTCCACGGACGAGGCGACTGCAAGCGACTTAGAGCTGACGACACACCCCAGCTCAGAGATATCATGCTGAAACTCGGCAGCGGCCTGGGGCAGGTAGCGGCAGATGAAAGCGACAGAGATGATGATGATGAGGAGGAGGAGGGGGATGAGGAGGAAGAGGCAAGAGGAGGATCGATGCGGAGAGAGGAGGAAATGGGGAGGAGAGATGAGAAATGATGAGAGAGGAGGAAGGTCAGGACAGAGGAGGAGAGGAGGGGTCGAGGAGGAGAGTAGGAGAGGAGAGGGAGTAGAGGGGGAGGAGAGGAGGAGGAGGAGGAGGAGGAGGAGGAGGAGGAGGAGGAGGATGAGGAGGAGCGGGATGACGAGGAGCATGGAGGAGAGTGAGGAGGCATGATGAACAGAGATGGGGAGAGAGGAGGAGAGAGGAGAGAGGAGTGGAGAGCGGAGAGAGGACAAGAGGGGAGGAGAGATGGGGAGAGAGGAGGAGATAGGAGGAGCGAGGAGAAGAGAGTATAAGGGAGGATATATGAAACAGAGGAAGAGGAGGAGGATGAGGTGGATGATGAGGAGGAAGAGGAACAGGAGGATGATGAGGAGGAGGAGGAGGAGGAGGAGGAGGAGGAGGAGAGGAGGAGGAGGAGGTGGGTGAAGATGAGGCTGAGGAGGAACATGAGAAGGAGGAGGACGTGGAGGAGAAGGAGGAGGAGGAGGAGGAGGAAGAGGAGGAGGAGGAGAGGAGAGGAGGGGAGAGGGAGGAGGAGGAGGAGGAGGAGGAGGAGGAGGAGGAGGAGGAGGAGGAGGAGGAGGGAGGAGGAGGGAGGAGGGAGGGGAAACGAGAGAGAGAGAGAGAGGATAAAGGAGACAGGAGGAGGAGAGAGGAGGGAGGAGGGAGAGGGGAGAGAGCAGCGAGGAGAGAGGAGAGAGGACAGATAAGGAGGAGGAGAAGGAGGAGGAGGAGCAGGAGGAAGATGAGAGGATGAGGAGGAGGGGGAGGCGGAGGAGGTGGAGGCGGAGGAGGAGGAGGACAAGGAGGAGGAGGAGGAGGAGGGGGAGGAGGAGGAGGACGAGGAGTCCTCTTTCTCTCCGTTTCGCCATGCTCTTCCTCACCTTCCTCCTTCTTCTTCCTCCGCCTCTTCCGCACCCCCCTCCTCGTCGTCCACCTCCTCCTTCCTCTTCTTCCGTCCTGATCGCTCCCATCTTCATCGTCGTTCCCATCCTCCTGGTCCTCTTCCTCCTCTCATTGCACTGCACTTTGTCCTGCTCTCCCTCCTGGTGCTGCTGCTGCTGCTGCTGCTGCTGCTGCTGCTCCTCGCCACTCCTCTCCTCATTCTCCTCCTCCTCCTCCTTCTTCCTCCTCCTCCTTCTCCTCATTCTCCTCCTCCTCCCTCCTCCTCCTCCTCCTCCTCGTCCTCCTCCTCCTCATCCTCCTCCCATCCTTCCCCCACGTGCTGGTGACCGCACGGGAATCAGCGACGGGAGGAACTGCCGCTCGCCGCGAAGCCCAGCAAAGGCTGGGCCACTACCGCCGCCGTCTACATGCTCTTGGGGCTCTTCGCCAGCCTCTGGCGGCGCGCTGCGGGGCAGGGATGAGGATTATGAGGAGGAGGAGGAATCAGGAGGAGGAGGAGGAGGAGGAGGAGGAGGATGAAGAGGATGAAAATGAGGAGGAGGAGGAACATGAGGAGGAAGATAAGTATGAGACTGGCGATTTACAACCTCAAGGGGAGCTGAAAAGGATGTTGTCTGGATATTGCCTGTTTGATCAAACGCTCTATGAACATGAGAGCGTAACCGACAAAAAGGGGGCCTCACCCATTCCCAGGCTGGTCCTAGGCGACATTGGGCGGCCTCAGGGAAGCTGTGCTGGAGGTGGGTGCCGACCTGAGCTCATCGCCCCGTGGCCTGTCTTGCAAACCTTGTACCCTCTGCCATTTCTTGCGCGATTGACCCCCAGCAGTGAGGAGCGAGGAGAGGAGGATGTACCGAGAGAAGGGGCGAGCATGAATTGGAGGAGGGAAAGAAGGGAGGAACGAACATGAGGATGGGAGGAGGGCGAGGGCGAGGAAGGGGGAATCTGGGCGAGGAGGACGACGAGGACAATGAGGAAAAGGAACGGGGGCGGAAGGGGGACAAGGAGGGGCAGAACAAAAACTCTTTCATACCAGCAAGGAGAGGACGAACGTGGTGACGACGAGTGTTGGGGCACGGATGAGAAGTGCGACGAGGAGGTGTAATGGGGCCCCCAAAAGTGCAAGCGGAGGTCGGATGCGACGCGATTGGGAGGCGCAGTTTTTCCAGGGCCGAGCAGCACAACGTGGGGATGATTTTTGCACCGTCGCGCGGTGGTTCCAACCGAGGGCGTCGCGACCTGGCGCCTCGTCGCGCCCGTCCCGGTTCAGGAGGCAGGGCGGGGGCGGGAGGAGGAGGAGGAGGAGGAGGAGGAGGAGGAGGACGAGGACGAGGAGGAGGAGGACAGCGTACGACGACGACAACCCCCCTGGACGGGAGGTCCTGCGGTCTCCGCGTCCACCGCCACATCGGACGGCGAGGCGAGGCGCAGCTCCCGTAAAGCGGAACGTGCAGCATCGAGGTTGGTGGAAGGGGAGAAGCAGCAGGGCAGGAGCAAGAGAACGGGCATAATGATGCATGTGGTGTGCCAAAAAGACTTCCAGAACAGAGACGGTGCAACCAGGAATCCCCGTGCGCTCCCAGGCCTGCCCTTGCCCCAGGCCGCCGCCGGGGCCGACGCCGGCGTGGCTGCGCGGCTTTGAACCCGCTGCGATGCTGGGGGGGCTGGGCCAGCGTCGCCTGACGGTAGTCCTGGGGAATGCCGACCGCGCCGCCTCGTCGAAAAACAGCTGCGGCGCCTCGAGTCGGGCTCCGCGCAAGTCGGCATGAACCCCCAGGGAAGTAGCCGCCGCCTGGGCCGATTGCGCAGCCAGCAGGCGACGGATCTCCAACTGGACCTCGGCACGGGTCATCGGCGCTTCCTCGCCCACGGCGGCGGCGACGGCCCCCGCTGCCCGAGGGCGAGCCGTGGGGCCCCATGACTTCGGGTGGGCTCCCAGGCTGCTCCGCGCTGGCGCGGGTGGCGCTGCCGGAGGCGGAGGGGCCCGCGACGGAAGTGGAAGGGGGCCGTTGGCGTTGGCGTCCACCTCCAGGTCCTCTACCCCGAATTCGTCCGCTGACTGGTACGGGGTAGTCTGTTCGGCGCATGGGGTCGCCTCCCCCACCTCGGCGGCTGTGTCGCCATGGATGGCGAGGTAACCATCGCGAAGGTCATGGGCTCCTGCTGGGCGCAGCCGGCAGGCGCGGCCGCGGGCGGGCCCGAACGGCTCGAGTCCTTCGCAGTCCTCCTTGGACAGCGGGCAAAGGGCCTCGAGATCCAGCTCCGAGACTTCCATGCCGACCACCAACCCAAACGCGGTGGAGCTCAGCGGGCAAGCCGCTGCGCCGAGCAAGGGCAAGCTGAGCGCCTAATTTGATCCTACGGGCCCTCGGAAACCTTCCGCTTCTGCCAGACTGAGGCTATCGGCCGAGCGGAACGACTCAGGCAACGCCGGCAAGATGCCACAACCGAAGAGAGCAGCAAGGGAGCGACCCCGCTGCTCAGGTACACCGCCAGCCCCAGGCAGAGACGGTGGCACTGCCCGCCGCCGCCGGGGACGGCCTGAGAGGACCACGGCGACCCCGCAGAGGAGGCGCCGAGGTCCGCGAGCGATGGGGGAGGTTGACCTACGAACCGCTCGTGGGCCCCGAAAAAGAAGCTCGCCCGCTCCCTCTATGGCCGCCTGGGCGGCCGCCTGCTTGTGCCGTTCGCCGGAGGGGCCGCGAGGGAACCTGGGCCGGGATGCTGCAAAGACCGCAGAGCGCGAGTGGAAGGACACTAAGAGAAAACATGGCGATGATGAGGAGGTGTCGGCGGCGCTCCACCAGAGTCCAAAGACGGTTGGACTACGGGGGAATGTATCTCCTCATCTAACTGCTCGGCACCTCATTATACAAGGGGCATTAGCAGCAGCCCTGTGCATGCGCGGGGGGTGCCAGTGCACAGCTCGTTCCGAAGAGGCTCGTCTCCAGGCGGCAGACTGGCGAGCCACAAATGTAGCGACGCCGGTTGTCAGTGGCCGGCCAGCAAGCAGCGACGACTCAGGACTAGCAGGGGGGAGCAGGCGCAACAGCAAGCCATGGCCGCAATGTGGCGCATACGCTCAGCATCTGCAAGCGGACACCATACCCACACATTACACCAACGTCCACAGCGAGGGGCGGCCTTCGAGGGGGGGGGATCGGCCGACGGCCCACCGGAGCGGGAAAGGCGAGAGGAGGGGGGGAGGGGCGAACGACACGTCAGCAGGGGGGACCCGTTTTTCCAGACAGAACCCTGTCACTGGCAGGAAAGAAACTCAGCGCAGATAGCTGAGACTTCAAATCAGCGAAGCCAGGGGGGCCACCAGGACCAACTCACAGCGTAATTTTACCCAGCCCAGGGTACGGCAGAAACGCAACACATTCGCAACTCGATGCGCTTCTAACACAAGCCCTGGACCACCTCGATTGAGGCGCGCTGCAAAAAGGCCCCAGAGAAACCAACATTAGTTCGAAGCCGCGATCACTCTTTGCCCCTCCAGCTCCAAGTGGCCAAGGGGGTGTGGGCCTGCAAAGGCTGTTTTCTTCTCGCAACCTTAGATTGAACGTCCTCTCAATCCTGAGCAGGCGTACGAAGTGCTGATCCTCACTGGACCCAGGCTAGAATGCAATCGTGTACTTGTTGAGCGGTTCTTTCAAGGGCTCTTTGCAAAACTCGAGCAAGGCTACGACCGCGGCCGTTAGCATGAACGTGTCAGGATGCCCGAAGCCGTGGCCCGACTTGCCTTTGACCCTCGGCCGATATTCCTCCGAATGAGCCTTGGCCATCGTACGATAGAGCGCACCCTCAGTAGCAAGCTCACACTGGACCGTGCGCGTTGGGTCGAGTAACCTCAACTTCTGATGATCAGATGGGCTGTCGCACCCATCTTGAGTAGAACTCTCCTCCGTTGGCACCTGGACGCGATACTTCACCCCATGACCGTGCGACAACGCACAACTGTCACTCGCATGAGAGAACCGATTCCCCCAGGATGCCGTCTGAGACACCCACGAATGGAAGTGAAAAGTGTGAGCGCCCCACTAAAACTTGAGATAATGGGTTCAACACGCACTGATATGCCCAAACATGTGTGCTTTGGCTGCCGCATACGTGGGGGACTCACTGCCTCACAGCTCGCGCTGATACGGGGCGTCCACTACATCAGAACGGAACGCAGCACAAGCTCTACTTTTGGGCACTTGCCTTTATTGATGGTTTGCTTTACTTGTTTTCCGAAACATCTCCTTTTTTGATGCAGGATGTATCACATCATATTCATTTGTTGGGGGCAGCCAATCTTTTTTGCAAAACATGTTGTTCCATGTCACTCTGCCAGTGATTTGGACTGGTGCAGTAAAAGTTGGCGGCAGGTATCGAAGCCAACTCCACTGCCTGCAATCTCACATACAGACCGTAGGAGGAGGAGGAGGAGGAGGAGGAGGAGGAGGAGGAGGAGGAGGAGGAGGAGGAGTGTGAGAAGGATGAGGGAGGATGGAGGCAAACAAGGAAATGGATTTGGGGAGTGAGATTTCCTTCCCCGCCGCCTGCCCTGCCTTCCCTCCCTGGCCTCCCACCGCGCGGGGCCTGGCCTTGCCGAGGGAGGCGTTCTGCCCAGAATTCCGAAGCGATTCCAGCCGTGGCCGCGAGAGCGATCCAGAGCGATCGTTGCCCGCCATGCGGCGGTAGCGGCCTGCCTGCTCGGGCTCGGCCCCGCCGCGCCCTCCGAACGCCGCGCCGCACCAGAGGTCGCTCCGGCGAGAGGTCACTCGGTTTTCGGGGCCGCAGCTCGGGTCTCTGGCGGCCGTCCGGGGCGTGCCGGGCAACCCCATGACGCTCTCGGCGAGGCGCAGCTGCTGGAACGCATCCCAGGAGCTGACGAGAACGTCCGGAGACCTCAGCCGACGAAGACGCCCCCCGAACGCACATTGCCGGGGGGGGGTGAGGGGCAACGATGTGGAGGGATAGGCATGGGGGGGGAACCATCGACCTTGAATCGGCGATACATCGCCGATAGATCGGCGACAGGCCCCCGATCGTGGATCCGCACGTTCCTTGGCAGGTTGTGGCTATCGGGCCCCTATCGGCGATCAATGGGCCAGGGGGTCGATGCATCCCCCCCCATGCCTATCCCCCCGGAGGGAAGGCTTGGCGGCGCGCACTTGTGGATAGGGGGAGGGGGGAGGCTCTTTAGAAGGAGCCTGCTTGTTAGAAGGCGCCAGCCTTACGTCTACAGACAAAGCCCGCGCCTTCTAAGAAGCAGGGGTGCCTCTAAGAAGCCTTCCTCCCTGTCCCCTGCCCCCCTCTGCGCGTGGCCGAATCGTTTCGGCGGCGACGATAGGGGCGAATAGCCCAGGGGCGGGCATTACACGTATTCGCGCGGGAGCCTTGCCGAAGACATAGATCATCAGCGCCCCTGGATACATGCAGTGCTCCCCCCTGGGCTATTCGCCCCTATCGTCGCCTCCGATCGTTACCCCTCAAGGGGGCGCCCGCCAGAGTCCCGGCGGGCCTCTGCATCAGCTCCTGGGCGAAGCCTGGCCGGCCCTCGTAGGTGCCCGGGCCTGGGGCCGCCTCTGGCGGCCTCGGCGCCGTGGGGTCCTGGCCGCGCGAGGTTCGCGGATCGAGGTTCGAGGTTCGAGGGTTGCAGTTAGCGGAGGAGGAGGAGGAGGAGGAGGAGGAGGAGGAGGAGGAGGAGGAGGAGGAGGAGGAGGAGGAGGAGGAGGAGGAGGGAGGAGGAGGAGGAGGGGGATGAGGAGGAGGAGGGGATGAGGAGGAGGAGGGGGAGCAGGAGGAGGGGGATGAGGAGGAGGAGGAGGAGGATGAGAAGGAGGAGGAGGAGGAGGAGGATCTGGAAGAGGAATCGCCACCGCTGGACTCAGCTCGACAAGCCAGCAAGGATGGGCCCAGGGAGGGTCCAGAGACCGATTTCGAACGGATGTTGAAGGAAGAGAGGTGGAACATGTTTGAGGATCGAACCTCTTCAACGTTTTGGAGCCGATATGTGGCGCCTGGGGCGCTCTCTTAGCCAAGGCTAGATCCACGTCGGCGTTCTGGTCGAAACACATCCCAGGAGAGGTCGGGGGAGTGAGTATTGCGGGGTAAAGGGTAGGGGGAGGAGTACAACGAGGAGGAAGCAGAGGAGGGAGGTGGAGGCGGAGGAACAGAGTAAACCCAATATGCATCAACGATGCTGCCATACATCCTCTCGTCCCAAGTCCTCGCCTCATGCGTCCCTACAAGCTTCTGTTTCACGACAAGAAGCGCTCCCCCTGAAAGACCAGCGCAGTCGGGCCTGCCATTTTGGCGAGGGCCCCCGTCTTGAAAAGGAACAGCCCTGTATCCTTCTGGCGCGTGACCAGGAACGCGAACAACTGGCACCATACAGGCCAATCACATTCTCAACGATATCCCCCTTTCGAAGAAGGACCGCTTCCCAGCGGTGTGACTGCTGCACAAGTTTACACTTGTGGTCGTGAACTTCGGGGAAGCGGCAAGCGAGAACTACACTTTGAAAAATAACCTCCCTGCATCCATGCAGCGCTACGTGTGTTGAAACTGTGGGTCTCTGAAATTAGCCAAGTCATGAGCGAGAGCACCGTTTTGAAAAAGAGCTGTCTTCCATTCTTCTAATCCCACCAGCCCTTGGGCTAAGGTGGTTTAATGCGTTCTTTCCTTCCTCTTCCAAACACCTCTTTCTTCCCGGGAGGCTTACCTCCCCCCACTCCCTGTTTTTTCCCCAACCATCCTGTGGTGTTGGGTCCTCGTTTTGAAGAGACGGTCCCCGCGTTCCTCCTCCCTCCTTCCTCCCTCCTCCTCCCCCTTCTCTCCCTCCTCCCTGCGTTTCACCCACCCAGTACAATGTTTCGTGGCCCATAGGGAGCTCCACCGAAGCCCCCGGTGGGACTGTCCGCATGCGTCCCGAACACCAAACTTGGCACACCCCTCACACGCTTCATTGCGCCCCAGTGCCACCGTCCGCATGCGTCCCACACACTCAATTTGGCATTTCCACCCACCCAGTACAGCGCTTCGTGGCCCCATAGGGAGCTCCACTGGTGATCTCTTGGGCCGCTTTGGAGACATTGCGGATCGGCCCGAGAGCCCCAATACTTTTGGTATGCTGGCATTGGTCTCACATGTTTGGCCGTACAAGCGTTCCACTATGCCTGCGGTATGGCTCCAAGAGCCCCCAAGAGGCTTCCGAAAGGATCTCGCGAGAGGCCCCGAGCGGGGAACGCGCACGACTACTCAGGAACGGCACGGTGGCAGAACGGACCGAATGCCACTGGATATCCGAGAGCCCTCTTTGTCCTCCTTCCTTCATCCTTTCTCCGTGCTCCTCTCTCCCCCTCCTGCCCTGCCCCTCCTTCTCTCCCTCCTCCTCCCCCTGCTCCCCCTCCCCTTCTCCTGCTCCTCCTCATCCTTCTTTTCCTCCTCGCCCTCCCTCACTGCCTCCTCCTCATCCTCCTTGTATCTCCCCGTTCCGCCACTCTCTACGTGGAAATCCGCTGGCCCCCCTTGTGGGGCCACGAGGCTGCTCGGCTGAGATTTCCTGCGCACTGCGCTAGTGTCAGTTTCTAGATTCCAGTGTGATAGTTCTACTGTCTGCTTCCCACTGTACATTGTTGCTGTCCGCGCGAGGGGGGGAGCCAACAAGCACGGGGTTACCACGCCCGAGTCGCGTGTTTTAGATTTCAGGGGCGCCCTGGGACACGTGCAAATACGTGATGTTCGCGCCCCCGAGGCAATTCATCGCTGCTGGGTTACGCCAGATTCGCGCACCCGAAGCTAGAATCCTTGTGTGAATTGCGTCAGGATCGCGCTCCCGAGGCCAGAACCCTTAGCACATTAGACCATATGCGCGCTCCTGAAGCCCGAATCCCTTTGTACATTACGCCAGGTTCGCGATCCCGGAGCTAAACTCACGTGCAAAGGACTCCAAGTTCGCGCTCCCGAAGCCAGACCTTCTTTTCCCAGTGCGCCAGACTCGCGCTCACGAAGTCAAGCTCCCGACTAAGTTACTCCGAACTCGCGCTCCCAAATTCGGACTCGCGCTGTACATTCCGCCCAGTTAGCGCTCCCGAGGCCAGAACCCTGTCCCACTGCCGCCAGCATTGCGCTCCCGAGGCCAGATTCTCTTGAACACTCCGCCAGCGCCGCGCTCTCAGAAGGAAGCAAAGCGTTCAACAGCCACTCCGACATCTCAAGGTGCATGCTGACAGCCAGCCGCCCTCGCATGAAGTTCCCAGAAGTTTTTCAGAACAGCGCCGAGATGTCCCAGCACAACTGGCATCTCCCGTTGCAACCTAGAGGGGGGCCGCAAAGGGCGAAGCCCTTACGGAATTTCACACAAGCTCTCCCAGCCAATTCTAAATCCCAAGCCCGAACCAACCTCACAAAACCAGAACAACCCTGGACAACTTCCCAACACCCTCACCCCCACTCTCCCAATCCGCTGCTTTCATCCCACATCCTCCGTTCCCCCCCCGCTCTTCCTCCTCCCCTCTCCACCTCCTCCTGCTCATCCTCCCTCCCTCCCTCACTCCACCACCAACTTCCTGTATATCCTGCTGCCGCTCCTCCCCCCTTCTTCCTGCCTCACTTCGCCCTCTCCTCCAGTCTCTCCGCAATCTGTTGCAAACCAAGCCTGAGTCTCTCGATCGCATCACCACTGTCATTTGAATATGATATTCCCATGCGTCCTCCTGCTCCACTTTCCCCCCTCTCCTCTCTTTGCCTTCCGATGAACGTAATGCTATCACGGCGCCCGTGAGGCGTCGGGCCCGCTGGGCGCTCGCTGACACGACTTCCCGATATGCCTGGCATTCGACCCGTGTCGGGCGCGTGCGTCCTCCCAGCCAAGCGAGCTTTCAGCGCGCGCACCGCCTGCCGTGAACTCGCTCACTCATCCCAGGCCCTCGGCGTTGCGGACTCGCCGAGCCCCGCCTCTCCTGCACCACCCCGAGGCCCAGGCGCTGGCTTTCCAAAGGGAGTTTCGGCGATCCAGGGACCTGTATCGACAGGCGGTCGGGCCGCTTACGGCTCGCACTGCATGCGTGCGTTTCCAGAGTTTTCGTTTTTTGGGTTATCGTTTTATGCTTTTTGCTGTTGTCTGTTCACTTTGTGGAATGACTGCCTCTATAGATCCTCGGCACCTCATCAAGCCATTCAGCCATGCAACTGCACAGAGACTTGCAAGGGAAGAGAGCCTTGCGCGAATTTGCAACGGCCTTTTCCCCAACTACCGTGGGCCCCGAATGTCATTTTAGCGGCCCAGCAGGTCCTCACTGGTGGTGCTTCGGAGTCCTCAAGGTCGGCTGCGAGGGCCCAGCCCTAGTTGGGTAGGTCGGGGCACAGCGTACCCAACTCCTGCTCCTGCTCTCTTCGCCGTCCCCCTCCCTCCTACTCGTTGTCCTCTTCTTCCTCCCCCCGAGGCATGCTGCTCCCCTCTCCCCCCCGCCCTCACTATCTTCCTCCCCCCCTTTCCATCCCCCCCCTCCTGGTAATTCCCTCCTTCGCCCCTCCATCCAGAAGCTCTCCTCTCTCCCTCCCCCCCCCGCCCGCCCGCCGGGCCCCTCCGCGCGGCGGGCACCCATGGTGTGCGCCACGGAGGACAGGTGCTGCGCGCAGACCTCCCGGCAGGAGGGGCAGCATGGAGGGCGAGAGGATGGCGGAGAGCACGAGGGAGCGAGGGGCAGGGGGAGGCAAGGAGAGTGAAGGAGTGGAGGCGGAGGAGGGGGGGGGGAGGGGGCAGCATGAGGGCGAGCGGATGGCGGAGAGAACGAGGGAGCGAGGGGCAGGGGGAGCAAGGAGAGTGAAGGAGTGGAGGCGGAGGAGGGGTGGAGGAAGAGAGGGATTGTAAGGTGAGGGGAAGAGGTGAAGGAGTTCGCAGAAAAGCCCCCAGGGCCCTAAGACCACCCCAAAACGGCCCGAGAGGCCTCCAAGAGGGCCCCAAGATGACCTAAGAGAGCCCCAAGACGGCCCACGAGGCGTCCAAGACGGCCCAAGGGGGGCCCAAGACGGCCCCCAAAAGGGCCCAGGAGAGGGAATACGAACCGAAAATCCGAGCTTTCCGCCCCGAGAGGCCCCCAAGAGGCCCAACATAGGCCCCAAGGACTTGAAACGGCCCCCAAGAGGCCTCCAAACTGTCTCCAAGAGGCCGCCGAGAGGCCTCCACGAGATCCCAACGAACATCTAATAGGCTTCACCCTCACGATCCAGGCACGGTGGCGGGATGGGCCAAAGGCCATTCGATCCGCCGCCCCCTGTTGATTCATCACAAGGGTGCCTGGCGTGCTGAATCCTCTCGGTTTTGGTTTTGGTTCTTTTTCCAGAAGAACTCCCCCGGGGGCTCCGGCGCGTCCCGCCGGGGTCCCGGGAGATTGCCGAAAACCCGGTTGCAAAGGTTTTTCCTGCTCCCGACGGCTCCAAGACGGCTCAAGATGGCCTCCAAGATGGCCACGTTGGCCCAAGATGGCCTCCAAGATGGTCCAAGACTGCCTCCAAGTCCGCCCAAGATGGTCCAAGACGGCCTTCAAAACGGCCCGAGAGAGTACAAGACGGCCCAAGAGGCCCCGCAGAGGCCTCCAAGACGGCCCAAGAGGCCTCCTAGAGGTCCTCCCGGAGGGCCCGAAGAGGCCCAAATCATTAATTTTCCTAAGGTTTTCGAAGGATTTTGGAATTTGCTTCTTCTCGGCATTCCGACGGCTCAAGACGGCCCAAGAGGCCCCCAAGAACGCCCAAGAGGCCCCCAAGGGGGCCCCATGACGGCCCAAGTGGCCTCCAAGACGGCCCCATGAGGGCCCCAAGACGGCCCAAGAGGCCTCCAACAGGCCCAAGATGGCCTCCAAGACGCCCAAGATGGCCTCCAAGGCGGCCCCGAAGCGCCCCAAGAATGCCCCAAGTCGGCCTTTGACATTTGCTTCTTTTCGGCCTTCCGAAGGCCCGAGACGGCCTAAGAGCCCCCAAAGATCGCCGAAAGATCGCCCAAAAGGCCTCCAAGATGGCCCCAGAACGGCCCAAGAGGGCCCCAAGACGGCCCCAAGAGGCCCCCAAGACGGCACAGGAGGCCTTTGAGACGCCCAAGATGGCCTCCAAGACGGCCCTGGAGCATTCCAAGAGGACCCAAAGTCGGCTCAGAGAGGCCCCCCAAACGGCTTCAGACGGCGTCAGACGGACCAGGAGCCCACCAAGACGGCCGAAGATGGCCCTAAGATGATCCAAGACGGCCCAAGAGGCCTCCAAGAGGGCCTCCAGGAAGGCCCGAAAAGGCCAACATCATTGATTTCCGATGGGTTTTTGAAGGATTGAGGCATTTGCTTCTTTTCTGCCTTCCGACGGCCCGAGACAGCCTAAGTGCCCCCAAAGATCGTCCAAGAGGCCCAAGACACGGCCCCAAGAGGCCCCCAAGACGGCCCAAGAGGTCTCCAAGACGCTCAAGATGGCCTCCAAGACGGCCCAAGAGCCCTCCAAGACGTCCTCCAAAAGGCCTGAGAGGGTCAAAATGGCCTCCAGAGGGCCAAGATGACCTTCAAGATGCCCACGTGTTCCCCGAAGGCTTTCCAAACTGATTCGGGGAACAAACACATGGTCCGACAGCTTGGCAGGTCTGGCCTCAACGTTCGGCCACATAGGCGCTTCCAAAAAGGCAGGGGGCGGCGGTGATTCGCCGTAGGCGTCTTCGATATATACATTTCCTGAACATTGAGCTTGGTCCTTCCAGTACTGCTGACTGGACGCGTACCCATTTCTGCTTGACGTTTGCGGACCAGAGGATCTGTCAGCATTGGTGGTGGCTCTTGTTGCGATCAGACCACAACACGTCAGAGGGTATATTAACCAAGCGTGGCCGTGATGATTTTTTCTTTTTTTAGCAACTGCTGGCTAAGGCTAGGGAGCCCGGGCCCCTCCGGTCTCCCTCGGGCTTAGGCTGGGGTGCTCCAGGCCCCCTCTGGTTCAGAAGCCTGTCTGGCTGAGGCTGGAGGCTCCAGGCCCCCTCCGGCTAAGGCTGGGGAGTTCCAAACCCCCTCTGGCTAAGGCTCGCGGGCTCCGGGCCCTCTTGAGCAACGCTGGGAGGCTCTGGGCCCCCTCGGACCAAGGCCGAAAGGCTTCGGACCGCGGCCAAGACTCGGAGGGGCCCCCTCTGGTTAGCGCTGCTCGGGCTTCGGGCCCCCCTTCAGCTGAGGCTCTGGCGGCCAAGTCTGGGGCAGCCAAGGTTGCGAGGGTCCACGCCGTCCAAGCCAAACTTTGGCGGGGGACCCGACGGCCCGTTTGGTTAAGCCTGCGGGGCTCGCGAGGCCCACCTGCTCGAAGCTGGGGGGGGCCCCTCCGGCCTGTCCGGCCACTTCGTTGGGAGATCCAAAACTCCGACCGACTCTCTGGGCAGTGGTAGTGTAGCTCGATTTCTCTCCTCCATGCCATTCTCAACTTCCCGTGCCTTCGTTGAACTCCTTACTGTCATTCCCAGATTCCCCGTGCCTTTCTGCACTCCCCCATGTCTTTACCACCTCCTCCGTGGCAATCTAACCTTCCCCACGTCCACTGAAGTGTTCCCATGCGCCTTCCAATTCCTCCATGGTCGCCAAGCCTCCCCTGCGCGATCGACACTTTCGCCGCGCCTGCGCAACCTGCTACACCCCAACGCGAGTCCACCATCTTCGCTTCCACGCCTTGTTTGCGTTTTTGCCCCCGACATGGCTTAATGGTCTGTGGGTCTCATCATGTATATCGGGTGATGTGTTGGAGACGCAGACTGTTAAGTAGGATGGTGTCCTAAAGTTGCACTTGGGAAGGAGTCTGTTGAGTAGTGGGCAAGGTGTTGTTGAGTATAGGGTGGTGTGTTGGAGACGGAGGGTGTTGATCGTAGGCTATGTGGGGAGGCGGAGGCCGTTGAGTGTGGGGACGGGACTTGCGAACGTAGTGCTAGTTGGGTGTTGGGAAACTACACTACTGGATCTTGAACAGTGTATGCCCCCCACACATACACACACATATATATATATGTATATTTCGGTGACACGACTTATCTATCTATAAGCGGGCAACCACGGGACAACCGCGGGACAACCATGGCACAACCACGGGACAACCACAGAACAACCACGGGACAACTACGGCACAACCACGGAACAACCACGGGACAACTACGGGACAACCACGGACAACCACAGGACAACTACGGGACAACCGCGGGACCACCATGGCACAACCACGGGACAAACATCGGACAACCATGTGACAATCGCGGGACATCCACGGCACAACCACGGAACAACCGCGGGACAACCACGGGGCACCGATTGAATTACCTATCGTGTTCACTGCCAATCTACCGATCACACTATTACTATACCAGTCGGCCTCACCGTTTACTGGTCTCACAGTTTATCTGGCGATCTCACTATCGCTGTGTTCGGTATTGCTGCAGATTGTGATGTGCACATGCATACACATATGTATATGTATGTATGTACAGGCTGATCTTATTATCAATATGCCGATCAACCTCACAATTAATCGATCGGTCTCCCGACCTTTCTATCTACAGACAAGACATCGGCGAAACCACCACGGGACAACCACGCGAGAACCTCGGGACAACCACGGGACATCTGCGGGACAACCACGAGAAAACCACGGGACAACTGCAGGACAACCACGTGACAACCACGGAACAAACACGGGGCATCCATGGGACCAGACTGGGACAAGAACGGGACAACCACGGGACAACCGCGGGACAACCACAGCACAGCCGCGCGACAACATAACCCCCGGGCACGCCCCAGCGGGGGAGCGACTCGTTTGGGCCTGATCTGGGCCTAATTAATGGAGGAACTCGCGCAACCTCGCCTCGCCCGCAACGAATCGAAACCAGAGCAGATTTCCGGCTTGGGGGACTCCGTTTCAGTCGGCCTTACTCCCCAACTTCCGATCAAGTTCCCCCCTCTCATCCTGCCCCCGTGCTGGGAGATGCTGGATAAGCAACCCCCCCTGGAAAGGCCTGTCTGGTCGGGAAGGCCGACTCCGTGTCCCAGACGGACATGCTGCCAATGTTGGGGTCGTGGCGGCCCATGCATGACGATGGCTCGGTCTGCACCCCGGCCAAGGAGAAAGCAGGCAGATGAGGATGAGTACGAAGAGGGTGACGAGGAGGAGAAGGATGACGACGACGAGGCAGGAGAAGGGATGATGGGGAGGGGGGGATGGAGGGAGGTCGGGGCGTCAGGGGAAACAAAGCTGGTCCCAGAGGGGAAGGGAGTGGGGAGAGAGGCAGGGATCGAGCGTCGGAGAGAGAGCGCAGGCCTCCTCGCCTACGGCGTCGAAGATGCCGGCACGGGTGGAAGACTGAGACGGTGCGAGTGTAGCTCAGAAAGATCACCGATGTCTACATCAGTGGAGTCAGACAAAACTCCTCCTCCTCCTCCTCCTCCTCCTCCTCCTCCTCCTCCCAGTGAATCGTCATCAGCCTCGCGTTGCATACCCTCAGCCCATCTGAGCACACGCCGGTCCACCCCAGCGTCCGCAGGCGCAGCTCTGGGGGCCGCGGCACTCCGACTCCGGGGTGCACCGCCACCCGCATGCTCGATAACGGGTGGGTGTGGCTGGAGTGCACTGGGCCCGCCACGCCAGTGTCGATATGAAAACTCCTGCGGTCGTTCACGATCGGGGTGAGTCTCGGCAGGGCAATGCGAGCGAACACTGGCAGCCACCACATCACGCGCCGCATGCACCTCCGCCAAGCTCACGAAGCGCATCTGATGACAAGCTGCATTCGAGACAAATATGAACTTCAAACTGGCCTCGCTCATTCTTTTCAGCGCCCAACGTTCTCATAGGTCTGTAGGGAGGAAATCGCCAGTCTCTGTGGTATAAGCCAAATCTAGCACTGGACATTCCGCATAATGGGCTTGTTGGTCCCAACAGCTCTTGCACCCAAAGAGACACCGCAACTGTCCGTGAGGATGCGCGATTCGGAAGCTTGTCAACCACCCTCCAGACATAGTACGAAGAGGCAAGACGTGCACGAATTTGGTCCCAAGGGATCTCAGCAATGTCATCTTTGCGTTGGGGCCACCATCGACGCAGTTTCGACTCGAACAGCGGGATCAACAATGGAGGGAGGGAGGGAGAGATCGATCGTGGGCGCGTCACATAGGCAACAAGGAGGCCGATCGGATCGCGAAGCTCGGGAGCCTCCACGACAAGAGTGGACTGGGTGAGGCCGAGGCCCGCCTGTCGGCAGCGAGAGCGGCAGCAGGCCGCCTCCTGTTGCACCACGGCCTTGTCTGAAAAGAAATTGCGGAGCGAGATCGGCCTGATAGAGACCCCCTGCCCAAGCCTCGGGCCCAGGCTCCCGGTCCTGGGGGCCCGTTCTTGTCCTGGGGTCTTTCGATCATGGCCACAAGCTTCGTATGATCGGTAGATGCTGGGGATGGGAGGTCTGCGGCGATAGCGTCGTTTCACGAGCCTGCACCTGCATGCCCAGACTTGCCTCCCAAACCCATGGGTCCCATCGGCTCTGGATTTTCCAAGATCGGGGGGGTCGGTCGTGGTCGGGAGGTGGCGCCGGAGCTGATGGGGCCTAGGAACCCATAGTTATGCAACGCACGTGGAGCATATACCCCGCGCCAGATCTGTTTGCGCGGAACGGAGTGTGATTTCAACGGAAAAAGAAAGGTTGCTCAGAGGTTGGCGCGAAAGGCGTTGGACTCTCTGCGTGCTGGCCGCGACTCGCAGACAGGAAGTTTCTTGGGGGCTTCCGTTCCCCCTTCCCCGCGCTCATGGCGATTTTCTTCGTTTTTGAAAAATTTAGCCCCCTGAGAGGATGGGTCAGAGCCTAAAGTGGGCACCGCTGTCGTGCCTGACACCCCCCGGTCCTGAAAGAGGGGCCGATTCGAAATAGCCGTACTCCGCCCTAGGTTTTTTGAGGTTCTGGGACCAGTGACTTCCTTGCCCTGAGGCAGCTTCCTACGGAGCCGCATGCAGGCGGTGGTTGCAAGCGACCAGCAACGTCATAGGACACAGAGGACATAGAGGATGATTACGATGATGATGCTGTTGATGATGATGACGATGCTGATGATGATTATGATGATGATGATGAGGATGATGATGATGTTGATGATGATGATGATGCTGATGATGATGATGCTTATGATGATGCTGATGCAGATGCTGCTGCTGTCGATGACGATGCTGATGTTGCTGATGATGCTGATTGTGGTGGTGACGATGACGCTGACGATGACGATGACTATGCTGATGATGGCGACGATGATGACGATGCTGATGATGCTGATGCTGATAACGACCATGATGATGCTGATCATGCTGTTGATGCTGCTGATGATACCGATGATGATTAGTGTGATGATGTTGTTGATGATGGTGATGATGATGGTGGTGATGATGATGCTGATGCTGCTGCTGCTGCTGATGATGATGATGATGATGATGCTGATGATGATGACGAGCGCGAAAATCATGGGGAGGAGGAGGAGGAGGAGGAGGAGGAGGAGGAGGGGGAGGGGGAGGGAGGAGGGGAGGAGGGGGAGGAGGAGGAGGAGGAGGAGGAGGAGGAGGAGGAGGGAGGAGGAGGAGGAGGAGGAGGAGGGGGAGGAGGTCTGGTTCGGTCCATGGCGCATTGCGAGCACCGAGTCAGCGCAGGGCTTTGCCCCGCCCACAGGTGACGACAACGGTAAGACAACATGAGACAAGCGCAGAGGGATATATTCATAAGTAGAGAGAGATAGATGGAGAGAGAGAGAGAGAGAGATAGAGAGCGAGAGAGAGAGAGAGAGAGAGAAAAAAAAAGAGAGTGAGAGAGAGCACAACAAACAGACACACTGAGGGATACTACTGAACGGTTCGGAAGGATGCATGAGGGATGGGGCAGCAGGAGGAAGCGGGGAGGAGGAAGATCATGATGACGACGAGGATGAGATAGGAGGACAATGAGGAGCGAGAGGAGGAGGGAGAGGAGGGGGATGAGGAAGAGGAGGATGAGGAGGAGGAGAAAGAGGAGGAGGAGGAGGAGGAGGAGCAGAAGGGGGAAGAGGAGGAGTGAACGTACCATGAAGAGAAGAGACGAGGGCAAGCGGACAAGACGCGAGAAGAGGGCAAGTGATCCCACGCCTGTCTCTCGCCGCGACGACTACTTCCTAGTGTACTCACTGGGCTCGAACGCTCTGGCACTCACATGGGGCCATACACGTGGAGCGGAATGTAAATCCTACGAAACAGTATGAGAAGCATTCAGGAAAGCGGGGAACACAGGGATGGGCGGAAGAAGAGCGGCGGAAGAGGGAAGGGCAGGGGACGAGCGAAGCGAAGGGCACCAAGACGGGGACGAGCGGGGTGGGGAGCGCGGGACAGAAGGCACAGGGCTAGCTACATCGAGGGGGCTGGTCTCAGGAATGGCCTGGAGGGGGAAGAGGAGGAGGAGGAGGAGGAGGAGGAGGAGGAGGAGGAGGAGGAGGAGGATCGGGCGTTGGCAGACATGGGTTTCGTGGGACCTGGTTTAGCGATGTGTGCTGGGGGACGCCCCCCCCGCCCACTTCCTGGCCAATTTCGGGGCTCCGGGGCCCTACCACTAAACGGGTCCCCTTGCCTGGGGTCCTGGCTATACCCGAGAGGAGGGAGGAGAAGGACGAAGGTGCGCCAGCAGGAATGCCGTTTTATATGTGAATGCACCTGCACGTCGCACATATGATGACCTACACATTGTCCCCGAATGTAATCAAAATCTTCAGCGTGTGTTTGCTGCGTCCACTGCACATTTTTCCACACGTTCGCTCAAGCCGCCAATTGCCTAGTGGAAGTGGACGTCAGGCCCTCATGGTCTGAGAACCCACAGGATGACTGGCATGTAGCTGCGAACTGACATGACTCAGACTTGCCCATCCAGCTGGTACAAAAACTGGGGAGTGATATCCAATGGCAAGCGACATGTCGTGAAACATCGGTGCATCATCGCTGTTCTGGTTGCGGCTCCCCCTGCCCCCCTTGAGTCTCCCCCCGTGGCTGGCCGTGGCCCCATCGAGCGGCGACGGAGTGCCCGCAGTCATTGGCATAGCATGTGGCGCGCAGGATGAGACGCACGCGGAGGAAAACGACCCAGTAATCGGATCAGGGATGGCGAGGAGGAAGGTCGGGCCAGGCGAAAGAGGGGGATAACAACGGGGGGGTTGAGAAGCAGCTCACGTAGCTGATTTTCCCAGCGCCTCCCGGCGCCGGGAGGCGCCCATGTATCGAGGAATGGGCCCGGCGGCGGGGCCGAAGCCAGCTACATGCAGCAGATTTCGTAACCCCCCCTTTCCCTATCCCCCCCTTTCGTTCGGCCCGAGAAAGGGAAGGAGGAATAGGCAGGATGAGAACGATATGGGAGAGGACTGGGAAGGAGAATGAGGAGGATGCATCAGGAGGAGCCAGGAGGTGGATGGAGGAGGGCAGCACAGACGAGGGAAAAACAACAGGGGAGGGATGGAGAAGGACAAAGGAGGAAAGGAGGGAGCCCAGACAAGCGGCGGCTCGACTTTTTCGAATGGCTGGCTGCAGAAAGGGGGGACGTATCGGATCGGGCTGGCTTTCCACGGAAGAGGCAACAGCGGGGTGAGTGCCGCACTGCATGAGCGTGTCGATTAAAGAGAGGGGAAAAAGGACGGTGGTAGGAGAAACCCGACAGACAGGGGGCGAAAGTGGTCTCCGAGGTTCGCCGTCGTCGTCTCGTCGCCGCCGTCCCGAGGACGAGGCTCGATGTTTCGTGGAGGCCTTGCGATGTCCTCCGAAGCCCCTTCCTCGAGCGGGGGCCGCCAGGCCCCTGGAACCCTCGACCCCTTCCCCTGGGGCTGGCTTCTCATCTCGAGTCGGTCTTCGAAGGCCCCTGGGGCCCGGCAGCCGCCCCCACGCGGCCGAGGATGGCGAGAGCCCCTTGGCCGCGACGGCTTACAGTCGGCCTAGATTAGTAGGTCGACCCTGCCTAACCAAGGGTACCCGTGTGTACTGTGTCTCGCGACCCATGCTTCCTACATTCCTGCGGCAATGTGGCCCTCAGAAGGGTCTTGTGTCCTCTCGCGTGTCCTGTCCAATCGAGTCCGACTGTACTTCGGGTCGCCAACATGCTGCCAACCACTGCGCATTTTCTTGGGGTGGAGGGCTCAGGGTGACATCCATGCGGGGCTTTTGCACCTCGAAGATCCAAGCCTCGAACATCCATCGAAACGGCATTTCAGATTTCACCCTTTGCCCTCCACCCGAAGAGAGTGCTCGGAAGGAGGCCTGCGGGCGAGGGAGGCCCGGACAGAGCGGGACAGGGCGGTCTGTGAAGTGGCCGCGGTGGGCCGGGACTTCGGCGGAGCCGGAGACGGCGCCCGGGAAGGGAAAGGACTAGGGAGGGAGAGAGGGCAAGGAGAGGGAGGGCAAGGGAAAGGAGAGAAGGGAGCGATGAGCAAATGGAGGTGCGATCAGCAGTAGTGGCAGCATTGGCTGTGTAGGATCACAATCCGCATGCCTCAATTGTGCCGCAGCTGTTCTGGAACAGGGGGCGCTCAGTGCCCCAAAACACCCTGCATTGGCTTGCTTGTGGTCCTCCGACCCCATCTGCCACGGCCCCATCCGGGAGGACCAGAGCGAGGGGGGGGGGGAGGGGGGGGAGATTACTAGTAGCATGCAGGAAACGGGTCATCAAAGCAACATATCCTGGACCCGCGGGACTTCCTCAGGGACCAGCTCTTCTGCCTGAGCTGCTGTCTGACAGGCCCAGGACCCGAGCCCCTGAGAATCCGCCTGCTTCACGGCGAGGGGCGCCGTGCCCCGCGGCGGGGCGGCCTTCTCGGCGAAGCGGGGGCCGATGCTGAAGCCCCGGTTCGTGAAGCTCTCCTGCCGGCGCCACCCCCCCTTCGGCCCTCCCCGTCCTCCGTGCCGTGCGGGTGTCTGGCGAGGAGGGAGGAGGAGGGAGGAGGGAGGCAGGAAGAGGAGGAGGGAGGTAGGAGGGAGGGACGGAGGAGGGAGGAGCAGGAGCATGCCTGGGGAAGGGGGGGAAGGAGGATGGGAATCTGATGACGAGGGGTCAACATACGTGGAGGGATGAGGCACAGTTGAGCACGAACGAGCGCGCGCACGCGCACGCGTACGAGCACGCGCACGCGCACGAGCACGCACACGCACAAGATCGGGCTCGGGCGTGGGCTCGCTTGGGCACGCGCGCGCACGCGCACGCTCACTCACACGCAGGCTCACTCACACGCACACGCGCATGCGCACTCACGCCCCCCCCAGGTTCAAGCGCGAGGTATGACTTCAATGCTAGGACCTCCGCTCCCAGGCCCCGCCCCATACCCCTCCCCGTGCCCGTTTGTATTTTTGAAGCCTTCAGCGCGGTGAGGATCCAGCGCTCAACATATAAGCGGGAAGATGGTTCAAGCCGCCAATGCCACATTTTACCATGGACAGGGTTCCAGCAACACACGGCGTGGGTTCTAGAACCTAATTTTGTTGAGAGAAAACCGCTCCAGCAGGTTCTGTCGACAAGAAGGGTGGGCTGTCGTATGAAAGGGCTACTTGAGCGACCGCGCCCCAGCCACGCACCCACCTACAGTCCGTCAAACATTTCACTAGCAAAAATCCGCCGACCCTGTCGGCGTGTGTGAGGGGCTTGTCCGTTCAAGTCGTCATCTCCGTCATTCGTTGGTCGTCGTCTCTGTCGTCCCCTTTCCCTGCCTCCCCCTTTTCCCTGGGCTCGTCGAAGCTCCTCCCTTTCCAAGGGACCTCCTCAGCGCGCCAGCCAAAGCGAAAATAAGCAACGTCGTAATTGAGTCGAAGGGAAGCCCCTTCCCTTCGATCACTCCCCCGCCGGGGGGGTGGGGGTCCCGGGGGGGTGGTCAGACGCCCCGGGGGGGGGGGTCATATACAACGCCCCCCCCTGGGAGTTCCGGAGCCCAGAAAATCCCCAAGACGGGCCAAGAGTGCCCCAAGAGGCCCCGAAGACAGTCCAAGAAAACCCCGAACCGCCGAACGATCTGTCCAAGACGCCTTGACGGCCTCCAGACGGCCCAAGAGGCCTGCAAAACGCTCCTAAGAGGCACGGCCCATGAGGCCCCCAAGATCGCCCCGAGACTGCCCAAGAGACCCCCAAGAGGGGCCCCTAACGGCCGAAGAGGGCCCCAAAACGGCCCAAGACGCCTCCAAGACGGCTCCAGGAGAGTGCCCAGAAGGGGGACCCGAACGGACATTTCGAGCTCTCAGCCACAATAGGCCCCCAAGAGGCCCCGAAAAAGCCCCAAGAGGCCCCAAGATGCTCCCAAGGGGCCCCAAACTGCCCCAAGACAGCCCAGGAGAGCCCCAAATTGCCCAGGAGGCCTCCAAGAGTGCCTCGAGACGGCGCAAGAGGAGCCCTGGACGGCCCAAGACGGCCTCAGGAGAGCCACAGGCTGTCCCAAGAACGCCTCTGGCCTCCTCCTCTTCCTCCTCCTCCTCCTCCTCCTCCTCCTCCTCCTCCTCCCCCGCCCCTCTGCCCCCCCTCCTCCTGCTCTCCTCTGCCTCCTCCTCCTCCTGCTTCTCCTCCACATCCTTCTCCCCCCTCCTCCTCTCTCATCCACCTCCTCCACCCTGCCCCTCCCTCGTTTTCATCTTCGTCGCTCTCAGGGTCGTCGGCAACGGCAGGAAGGCCTTCGCAATATCAACCTATCTGGCCATTCAGATGATTGTTATAAGGTGTGTTTGTTTTTGATCGCATGTTCATATATGGGAAGCACCCACGCATGCACACGCACAAGCACACGCGCGCACACAGGATGAGACTCGGGCTCGGTATCAAGCTCGCGCTCGGGCTCGGGCTCGGGGTCGGGCTCACGCTCGGGCTCGGGCTCGAACCCGCGCACGCGCACGCGCACACGCGCATCACACGCGCAAGCACACGAGCACGAGCACGCACACGCACACGCACGCGTGTGCGCACGCGCTCAGGATCGGGTTCGGGCTCGGGACCAGGCTCGGACTCGGGGTCGCTCAGGCATGCGCACGCGCGCACGCACATGCACGCACGCACGCGCACGCGCATGATCACGCGCGCGCGCGTGAACTACCCCCGGTTGAGAGCGAGGCGTGACTACACTGCTAGGACCCCCACCCCCAAGCCCCGTCCCATGCCCTTCCCCACGCTCCATTTGTAGGTTTGAAGGCCTGGGTGGGGTGATGCTCCAGCAGCCAATCTCTACGGGGGAACATGTTTCCAACAACTTCTGCTACCAAGACGGGTGGGTTCCAGCACCAAAATTTTACCATGGACAGTGGTTCCGCCAGCCCGCGGCGTGGGCTCCAGCACATAGATTACGTCAACAAGACGGGTGGGCTGTCGCCTGAAAGGGCAGCTTGGGCGGCCCGCGCCCCATCCACGAACCCATCGCAGTCCGTCAAACAGTTACCGGCAAAACACGCACCTGACTGTAGCCATATGACGGCTTCTAAGCTTGTGTGACAGTACGAAGAGGGAAAGTGGGACAGGAGGGTGCATTGCAGCATCGTTGATGCATCTTGGGCTTACTCTGGTCCTCCTCTTCCTCCTCCTCCTCCACCTTCTATTCCTTCTCCTCACCTCTTCCCTCATGGGGCCTCCAATGGTTCGGCGACCCCCCCGCCATCCAGGATCCTGACGCTTTTGCGCCCAGTCTCGGACCTGCTTGGGCATCTCCATGGTGGCCTCGGCGGGCAGGGCGAGGGGAGACGAGTCCCAGACACCTTGCGGTTACGAAACGTCGCGGCGGCAATTTATGCAAGTCTTTGGGGATCTGGAAGCCTGCATGGCCCCCTCGACCATCAGAAATTATTCACTGCGTGGAGCTCCCCATATGTGCATCTATTTGCATGGACTGGGTGTGAGTGAGTCTGAGTATGAGTATGATGAGTACGAGTCTGAGCACAAGTGAGTCTGGGACATCCTCGCAATCTGCCCCCCTGGAGTGCGAAAGCCAGTGAGTCTGAGTATGAGTATAGTGAGTACGAGTCTAAGTGTGAATGGGTCTGAATACGAGTGAGTTTGAATACGAGGGTGGGCTGGGTCTGAGTGTGAGTGATTCTGAGCGTGACTAAATCTGAACGTGAGTGCGTCTGAGTATGCGTATGATGGATACGAAACTGGCCTCGAGTGGGTCTGAGTACGAGTGAGTCTGACTACGAATGAGTCTGAGGGTGGGTGGGTCTGAGTGTGAGTGAGTCTGAGTGTGCGTAAGTCTGGGTGTGCGTGAGCCTGAGTATGAGTATGATGAGTGCGAGTCTGACGCCTCCTGGAACTTCCTGGGGCCTCCTGGAACTTCTTGGGGCATTCTGTGGCCTCTTGAACCTTTCTGTGGCCTCCTGATGCCTCCTGGGACCTCGTGTGGCCTCCTGGGGCCTCCTGGAGCCTCCTGTGGCATCCTGAAGAGAATCTGTGCCCACGAGTCTGGCCACCAAAACAGGGAAACCGATCGAGACATCCTCAAAGTCTGGCCCACTTGGGGGGTGAAAATGAGCGCCTCGCTCGAGACATCCTCCAAATCTGCTCCGACAGCGGAGGATGCCGGGGACCAAAACAGGCAAACCGCTCGAGATATCCCCGCCATTTTGGCGCGAACGGAAGCCGTGAGATACACCTGTCGGCCCCCCCTTAGGAGGCGCCTCGCACGAGACCTCATCAAAATCTGCTCCGGAAGTGGAATATGTTGGGGACCAAAACAGGCAAACCGCCTGAGACATCCCCGCCATTTGGGCGCGAACGGAGGCCGTGAGATACCCCTGGCGGCCCCCCTTTAGGAGTGCTAAAACCAGCGAACCGCTCGAGACATCCTCCTCATCAGCTTATTGTCATTATCATCATCACCACCATCATCATCATACTCATCCCATCATTCACCATCACCATCATGCTCACATCAGACTTTCACCGTACCATGAACATCATCATGGCATGGGTGGTCCGGCGCGGTCGGAGAACAACAAAAAACACCATCCTTGGTATATGGGGAATAACACGATCCCATGATGAAGAACGGGTCCGGGGGATGGGGTCGAGATGTTTGGGGGCCCGTGGGGATCCGCAAAAAATGCGCCTGGCAACGAACCCATCCATATGCACTTGTGAATGCCGCAATTGTGAGTGCCGTCTTAACGGGAACTTCCTACGGAGCAATGCCCGCATGCGGGCTGTGCCGCGGGGGCCTTCGGTGGAGCTCTCTGTTGAGACACGAAACATGTGAGAGGTATGCCAAATTGTGACTGTCGCCCAAATGCGGCCTGCGCCACTGGGAACTTCGGTGGAGCTCCCTGTGGAGCTACGAAACTTGTGAGGGGCGTGCCGAAACTCGTGCGGGCTGCGCCACTGGGACCTCAGGTGGAATTTCCTATGGGGCCACGAAGCGTGTGAGGGGTGTGCCGAAAGGGGGGGCGCCCACGTGCGGGCGGCGGCACTGGGGCCCTGTGTGGAGCTCCATATTGGGCCACGAAGTGTGTGAGGGGTGCCGAAACGGGAGTGGCGCCCCCATGTGACTTTCTTAAGCGGCAAACGAAGCCTTAATCTACCAGTGACGGATCGCCAAAGCTAGCCCCGCACAAACGGAACAAACACAACACAGGCGATCAGCAGGGCGACGACGACGATCGCCATGAGAGGCCGAAGTGTCTCCACTCGCAGCTTGAAGTGGCCCTTGGACCGGCATGCTGCCGAAGATTAGCGGGCAGCCCCTACCCACGCGCTCCGTAATTTGGGTAATTGCAGCGCTCCCTGTATTAGGCGGCCTACGCTGGAGGAGGAGGAGGAGGAGGAGGAGGAAAGAGAAGGAGAAGGGAACAGGAAACCATACAAATAGCAGTGCAGCCGTGGCCTCACGTGTCGCAGCGGCTGGCCCAGCCACGAATCCCCTGTCATCGTAGCGGCGATGCGTACGGAGCAGGAGGGAGGGGGAGGAGAAACACCAAAGTAGAGGAGGGGGCTCACGAGTGGTCGGCCAAGTGGAGGTACAAGTATATGTAGCACAAGTGCTGGTAGCCGTCCCAGGGGCGGGTGGAGGCCGAAGGGCGCCTGGCGACGGGCACCATGGTACCGGTCAGACCAGGAACTCAGCTGCGCAACGCCCACGCCAAGGTCTGGCATCGAATTCTGGAGCTGGCGTCGGAGCGGGATCGGACGCCGGAGCCGTAGTCTACGTCGGAGTTGGATCTGGAGTCAAGGGAGGGGGCGAAGCCGCCGTGCTGTCCATGGTAGCCGTCGCGCTGCACGTGGTAGTCTAAAACTGTTGATTCTGTCGTGCTGCTCGAAGTATCCGTCGTGCAGGGTGGAACTGGAGTTGGAGTCTGTGTCGGAGTTGGCGCGGACGCGATGTAGGAGTGTCCTCGGGTGTGTTGTGATGTCTAGCGCTGGCGCAAGTGTATGGTCCGAGCCGGGCCTGGGTGCGGGAGTCGGTGAACTGGTCGGCGCGGGAGTCGGTGAGCTGGCTGGCGCGGGGGTCGATGAGTTGATCGGCTCGGGAGCCGGGGGGTGCTAGAGCACACGATATCCTACAACCTCCTGACCCTCCCCCTCATCGTGTGATGTCTTGTAGCTGTTCAGCTGAGGCCTCATATGGCCAGCTTGAGCCCATGGTGCCAGGCAAGGCGCAACAATTTTTCTTCCACTGTGCTCTGGCGCCGCGCACTGCAGGGAGAAAAGCAATTAGATCGCTTTGCGACCCCGCCAAGGGGCTGGTCGATGAGGGAGCAGGCCGCGATCCAGTCGGTGTGGGAGTCGGCGAGCTGGTCGGCGAGGGAGTCGGCGAGCGGGCCCTTCGCAGGGGTCAGTGACCTGGTCAGCGAGGGAGCCGCCAAGCTGGTCGGTGCGGCAGGTCCCGTTACGGTCGGTGCCCGAGTCGACCAGCCTGTCGATTCATTCCAGTGCTGCTCGTGGTCTCCGCCGCGCTGCTCGCGGACCCTGTCGTGCTGCATGGGGTACTCGTCATGCAGCTCATGGAGCCCGCGATTGTGCTGGAGCAGGCGCTGGTGTTGGCGCCGGCGGTAGAGCTGCTCATCGTCGTACTTCTCATCGTCGCACTGTTGGTGGCCGTCGTACTGATCCAAGGCCGCGCTGCTCGTCGTCGTGCTGCTGGTCCCACTAGATCCTGGCAGTTTGAGCAACCGGCCGAAGTTCCGCCCCGGGCGGGCACGGAGCCTTTCGAGACCAGCTCGTAGCAGAGAAACCACAATGCACGTCGCAACGAACATGTCACGGAATTTGCCGCGGTGGTGGTGCTCCCTTCACTGGTACTGCCGCATGCTGCTCTACTCGCTAACCGGTGCGCCGTGGTGCTGGTGACGGCACTGGCGTCGATGCTATCGTAGGTGTCGACTGCTGTTCCTGGCGTGCGGGCTGCAGTCGGCACTGGTGGAGGCGCCAGTGTTGATGCTGGCGTAGTCGCAGGCGGCCATGCTGTGAGAGTAGGCGCCCGAGTCGGTGCTGGCGTCGGTGCTGGTGGAAGCGCTGGTGTTGGTGCCGGCGCGCTGGCGTAGATGCCATCGTCGGAGCTGGCGCTGGTGCTGGTGGACGTGCCGGCGATGGCCCCAGTGGTGGTGCCGGCGTTGGTGCTGGCGCCGGAGGGACACCGGATGCCGTTGGCGTCGGTGCTGGGGTGGGTTTTGGTGTTGGTGTCGGCGTAGGTGCCAGTATTGAGGTTAGTGCAGGGGCTGTCGTCGGGGCGGAGGCGATGGTGCAGGGGCTGGCGCTGGAGTGGAGGTGGGGGGTGGTCCATTCTGGGGCTGTCACCTTTGGGCTGCCCTGGGAGGGGCGTGCGAGCCCGCCCATGTGAAGCCAGGAGGATTGATGCTGGAGGTCGGAATGCTTCTTTTTCTTTGTTGCACCAGGATAACCATCTGCATCCCAGCCGTTCGTGTATAAGACGCGTCTCAAGTGCTGGAGGTCGGAATGCTGCGTTGGTGGGCGTTGGAGGTCGATCGGTGGAAATGGCCGTGGAATGTTTGATGCTGGGTGTTGCAGGTCGTGGTGCTGGCCTGGTGGAGGTTGAAAGTCGTTAGGTGGGGGTGATGGTGTGAACGTTGATGTCGGAGGCTGGATGTGAGGGGCCAGGGTGCGGGACTGGTGGAGATTGGAAGTCACTCGGTGGAGGTGTAATTGGAGTTGGGTGCTATCAGCTGGGGGTCTAAATGCCGTGTTTGTGAATGCGGGAGATCGATGGGTGGAGGTGGAGCTGCGGAGATGGATGCTGGTGGCAAGATGGCGCAGTGTCGATCTGGTAGAGGTTGAGCATCGACAAGTGGGGTGGACAGCTGGACGCTGTAGGTCGGAACGCCGCGTTGGTGGGCTCTCGAGGCCGATTTCTTACCACCGCTGCCCTCATCATCTGAATGCTTGCTGCTCTCAATGTGCGACTGCACCGAGTAATTTGTCAACCGCGTCGCTTGGGGATCCTGTGGCCCGCGTAACGGTCTAGCTGGCCGTGCGTGTGAACAGATATGCACAATGTCGCAATAGACAGCAGCAGTGGAATGATATACGTCCCCCCTCCACCTCGAATCATACATAATCTTCACCGAAGTCTGCTGGGGTAGGTCGGTCGGTGTACTCGTCGTCGCCGTCGTGGTCGTCGTCGGTGTCGCCCCCCGGAGAAGACGGGAACCGACGTCTGCTGGGATAGGTCAGTCGGTGTACCAGGCGTCGTCGTCATCGTCGTCGTCGTCGTCGTCGTGATCGGCGTCGGTCTCGCCCCCCGGAGATGACGGGAACCGAAGTCTGCTGGGGTAGGTCGGTCGGTGTACTCGTCGTCGCCGTCGTGGTCGTCGTCGGTGTCGCCCCCCGGAGATGACGGGAACCGAGTCGGTCGGCCCCAGTGGTGCCGCCCACCATATGGGCGGAGCCACTGGGGCCTTCGGTGGAGCTCCCTATGGGACCACGAAGCGCGTGAGGGGAGTGCCGACACGGGAGTGGCGCCCCCATGTGGGCGGAGCCACTGGGGCCTTCGGTGGAGCTCCCTGTGGGGCCACGAAGCGCGTGAGGGGTGTGCCAACACGGGGGTGGCGCCCACATGCGGGCGGCGCCACTGCGGCCTTCGGTAGAGCTCCCTGTGGGACCACGAAACGCGTGAGGGGTGTGCCGAAAAGGGGGTGGCGCCCACATGCGGCCGGCGCCACTGGGGCCTTCGGTGGAGCTCCCGGTGGGACCACGAAACGTGTGAGGGGAGTGCCGGAACAGGAGTGATGACGATGATGCTGATGATGACGGCGATGATGATGACGATGATGGTGATGATGAAGGCCGTGATGATGATGATGATGCTGATGATGATGATGATGATGCTGATGATGATGATGATGATGATGATGATGATGATGATGATGATAACGATGCTGATGATGAGATGAGGAGGGAGGGGGGGAGGACAGGACAAGGGGAAAGGAACGCGAGGCGCTCTCTTTTCAAAACGAGGACCCAACACCACAGGATGGTTGGGAATGGCGTCTGATGTTTGGGGCGGAATGTCTGATTGTATCCAGACCCCGCCGCGCAGACTCAGAACGCTCACGCCCATCCTCCTCAAAGGTACCACCCTCGTCATCTCTGTCTTCCTCGCTCTCATGCGTTATCATTTTCGTTACAGCCTGCCTTCATCTTCAACACCCTCATCAACGATTGTTCCAATTGTTACCACTCTCATGCTATCCGCTGTCACCGTCACTACCTCCATCGCTACCACTCCGTGCTGGTCAGAATTCTTATCCCCACTCTCATCGGTATCGACACTCTTATTTCTTATTTCCATCACCAATTTGAGGCCGCCCAAAGTGGGTCCGAGTAGATGGGGTCGCAAGATTGCGCCGCATCGCCGATGCATCGGCGATGCACTGGCGATGCCGGGATGGATAACATCGGGCTCCAGATGGCGCGGCATCGCCGATGCATCAGCGATGCGGCGCGCTCCGCGCGCCAGTGAGGAGACTCCCGCGCCAGTCCAAGAAATCCGTACAGACCTCCAACAGTTAGTGTTCATGCAATGTGTTTCTTCTTTTTTCGGGGGGGCGTGAGACTCGGGTTTGGGAGATTCAGGTTGGCCTGACGGGGCCGCAAAGGAAATGACGAGGCCCAGTCTGAGATTTGACGCGGACTCCCGCTGCAAACATCCCACCCAAACTGGACCACCAGACTTCAGGAAGGGCCCGCCAAAATGCCTCTGAAAACCCGAGCTCTGGCGAACCCGAACCTTGACACTTACCCTTCTGTTGCTCTCTTCGTACATAAGGACCACATCCCAGAAATGATTTCGAACACCCGGAAAAGTATCGAAACAGTGTCGAACGAGTGTCTCCCAGGGCCCGACACGTGAAAGCCCTCGAGTTTCGGTACATTCTTGGTGCTCGACATTCTTTCTGGTGGTGAGACAGCTGGAGAGCAGGTTGGAACATCATCAACCTACCCGGGTCTTCAGTCCTCCGCCCTGCCGCCGCCAGCGTCGCCGCCGCCGAAGGCCGGGAGCCGAGCAGCCGCAGGGGAGAGGGGGCCCGCGCCTCGCCGGCCTCTGCGCTGCCGGCCCTGTGGGACGCGGCGGGCGACCGGGGGGTCCGCCTGCTGCGGGCGGGAGGTCGGGGATCGAGGAGGATCGGGGAGGGTCGAGAGGGGGAGGGGATCGAAGGATCGAGAAGGATCGAGAAGGATTTAGAAGGATCGAGGGGGAGAGGGGAGGGGATCGAGAAGGATCGGGGAGGGTCGAGAGGGGGAGGGGATCGAAGAGGGCCGATGAGGGTCGAGGAGGATCGAGGATCGAGGAGGATCGAGATCGAGGAGGAGGAGGAGGAGGAGGCCCACGAGGAGGCCGAGAAGGTTAACGATGCCAACGATGATTGAGGAGGAGGCGCAGGAGGCCGAGGAGGAGAGGGAGGGGCGCCGTGGGCCGCGGGGGGCCCGCCGCCCCAGGGGGGGCGCCCGCTGGGGAGGTGCTTCTGTGGCGGCTCGGGCGACCACGCTGGGGGAGGCCTGTCCGCCCGAGGCGTCTCTGGGCCGCTCTCTGCGGCAGGGGGATGGCCCGGTCCCGATTTCGAAGGGCCTCCGGATCAGAGTCCTTGCCTGAGCAGGGAGGGGGGGGGGGCAGGAGGGGGGGGGGGGGGCGGGGAGAGGATAGGCGGGGGGAGGAGGGGAAGGGGCGAGGAAGAGGGGGAGGGAGGAGGGGAAGGAGGGGTGGAGGAGGGGGGGGGAGGGGGGGGGCAGGGGGAGGAGGAGGGGTTGAAGGATGAGAGGAGGGATGGAGTAGGAAGGGTGGCGGGAGGCTTTGAGTGAGGACCGCGGAGGTCACTAATGCTCTTTTGCACCCGTTCTCACGACATCTCGCATAGGAATCGTTTTTCGACGGGCCAGTGTGAACATGCGAAGCGTCCCATCCTCTCACTCGCTCCCTCCCTCCCTCCCTCCCTCCCTCCTCCTTCTCCGTTGTGGTCGTCGTCCTCCTCCTCCCCACAAGGCCTTGGGGCACCCGAGTGGGCTCCAACCCCGTCACCAAAGGGGACCCCCGTGCGTTTGGGTTGTAGTCCAGGGTCCCTAGCCACGGAAAACGCCACCTACCGGACACAGCCTCTTGGAGGGCTGGCCCCTCTGCATTCCCCCTCTAATTGTAAGTTTCCCCCTCCTCCTCTTCCTACTGATCCTCCTTCCCGTACCCATGTTGGCTCATGCCATTTTGGCTCAAGCATTTTGTGCTTGAGCCAGCGCCGGCTTAGCTCCTTCTCGGTGTGCGCCCGCGATGGGCGCTCCGGTCGAGATGGGCCGCTTTCGCGTCAGCATGAAGGAAGCGGGTTCCGTGGGAAATGGGTCCTGTATCAAGGGGCTTTCCCCCAAGACCAGTGCTTCATGCCGAGCCGTTGCCTGACAGTCTCAGGGCCCGTGGAGGGCCCCAGGAGCCCGAAAACGGTGAAAAATCTCAGGACCCATTTCTTGAGCATCGTTCGACCGATCCCTACCCGAACTGGCGTGGCCTGGGCCGCACTGGCCGATTTACCCTCCTAGCGTTGGCAAAGGAGGCCCAGAGGCGGGTGGCGCCTCCGAAAATGCCTGAAAGGACTGGGCTGTGGCATCTCTGCTTTTCACATGTGAAGCAAGACTGATGCTGGGCGACACCTCCTCCTCAAATGAACAGCAAATGCCGCAAGGGGCTTCAAGTCGAACTATACGATCTCCTCCTCCTCCCTGCGCGGCTGGGCCGCGCGATGGCGACGTGGGGCGCGGCGCTGGCAAGGGCATGAGACATCGCCTCGCGGGCCGCCTCCACGGCGACGACGGCCTGGGCCGCGTCGAGTGCGGGCTGCAGAGGCGCCGTGGCTCATGCAGTCTACGAGTGCGGCTGCGAGTCCACCGTCCGCTTCACTCCTGGCTTCGGGCCATTCGCCCTTGCCTGGGGGTGGTGCTTGGTCGGCGTCCTGGGCGGGCTGCTGATCGGCATGTACTTCGAGCAGATCGCGAACCGAGCCGCTTCGCTGGCGACTGGGTGGGGGCGCCTGGCCCAGTTGGCGGCTGCTGGGCCGCCGGGACTGAGCCCGATGCCTCTCTGGCACCGTGCGGTCCAGGCCGAGCTCGCCGCTGCGACAGGGCCGCGCCAGGTGATCCTCCAGCGCCTCTCCGACGAGGGGGACGCCGCCTTTGACCTCCTCGCCGCCGCCTGGGGGGTGCCGCGGCGGGACGCCTTGGCGCGCATCCTGGGCGATGCCGCGGTCAGAACCAACGCAACTGCCTGGGGGCTGTGACACCATCCCGGGTCCTCCGCCACGACCCATTCGCAGGCGTCTGGGTCGGCGAGGCCTCGCAGCCAGGGCCGGTGGGGGACGATGAGCTCTTGCGGGCCATGCTGGCCGTGGGCTTCCCCGGGAGGCCCGTCGGAGCGGCCATGGCGACCCTGGGTTTCGCCAAGCGGGCCGACGGTGCTGCTGCCGCGGGCTTCGCCACGCCGCGGAGTCGTTCTCCCAGCCCGGGCCCCGCCGATCCACCCGCAGCCGAGGGCCTCGCAATCCCTCCCGGGGAACGCGAAAGCGCAGCTGAGGGCAGGGGGTCGCCTGGGCCGCTACACCTCTGGGCCGCCGCGGCGCACCTCGCTGGCGGGATCCAGGCACCCCCATCGGCGGCGAGCGCTCTCCGCAGCCTGGGGCCTGGGGCCGCGCTGCAGGGGCCCCTCCGCCCGTGCTGGCGCCGCCGAGCGGCCCAGAGACCTGAGGTATTTTGCGAACCTGAAGTGCCTGCGGATTCGGCGCGCCGCTGGGGCCGCCAGAGGAGCCGCCAAGGCTGCTGTCGGGGCAGCCGGGCCCGCCGGCTGGGCGGCCCGCCGACGCGGGAGTGCCGCCTCCGCCTGCCCCTTAAGGTCGGGCCCCCCTGGCGACGAGGAGCCCGCTGCGCCGGTCCCCGGGGCGCCGCCGCCGCCGCCGCCGCCGCTGCAGTGCCCCTTCTGCCCGGCGTACCGTTCGCAGAGCACTGCGCGGGGTTTGATGCGACATCTCACGGCCCGCCACGCAGGGCAGCTGCTGGGCGAAGGTGGTGCCACGGCCATGCGGGGCCTCGGGCGGGGTGTGTGCACTGGATGCTGCGGGCTGCGTGCGCTGACGACGCGGCAGTGCCACCGCTGCGGCGTGGTTGTTCGCGCGCGCCCCGTGCTGGCTACGGACCGCGTCCTGGGCCCGGTGCAGCCCGCCGCGAGCCGCCCAGCGGCGGTGGACGAGGTGCACGACGTGCACTTGCCCGCGGACTGGGCGCATCGCATCGAGCAGCTGCCCGCCCCGACCATGCTGCACGTCCCCATGCAATTCCAGGAGCGCCTCGCCCATGCGACGGCGCACGCACTAGAGGTCCTTCTCGCGGACGGCGCGCTCGCAGGCCTTGAATGTGGGCGTAGCAAGCTCTTGCTCGCCCCGCCGCCCGCCGGCTTCGGCGTGAAGGCGGAGCTCGAGGCCCGGCTGCGCCTCTGGGAGCAAGGGCAGTTTGAGGAATTGCTTGGGCGGAGGAACAGACGCGGGTGCGGGCTGAGGCGCACCGGCGGGCTCCTCGGGCTCCCGCGGGCGCCGCTCGCGCACGCCGGGCGCGCGCGCTGGCACGCGAGGGCGCCTACAGCAAAGCGGTTGCGGCGGTGACTTCTCAGGTCGTGGAGCTCACTCCTGGTGAACAGCGTGCGTGGAATGCTCAGCTGCTGCCGACGAGTGCCGACCACGGGTCGGCCATCGCTCCGGGCGCGCGCCCTGCCGCGCCGGGGGATGCTGCCGTTGGGGGCTCGCGCGACTTGCGGCGCCAGACCCTCGCAGGCGTGCACTTCCCAGCCATGTCGGGGCCCGGCCCGAGTGGTGCGCGCCCCGAGCGCTTGAAGGATCTGCTGGCTCGGCGGCGCCGGTCGGCGGTGAACCGCTTGCTGCGGGCGCTGGGGGCGTTGATCGACGGCGCGCGCGCTGGGGCGCTGCCAGCGTCCGCGCGGTGGCTGCTGGGGTCGCGCTTGGTGTTTCTGCGCAAGGCAAGTGGCCCCGCCCCCCGCCCCATCCGGGTGGGCGAGCTCTGGCGCCGGGTGATCGCCAAGCGCTTGCTGCACGATGAGAGCGATCGGCTGCAGCATGTGTTCGCGGAGGTGCGTCAGTACGGCGTCCTCGTGCCAGGGGGTGCGGAGGTTCTGATCCACGCAAGGCGTGCAATGGAGAGCGTTCTGCTGGCGGGCGGGCACGCGCCCCTCGCCCTGTTGGACTTGGACCTGCGGAACGCGTTCCCGTCGTTGGAGTGGGATGCCATCCGCGCCGCCGTCGAGGAGCAGGCCCATAGCATGGACGGAGTGGTGCCAGGCCGACAGCATCGGCGTACGCCTTCCGTGCGGCGAGCTGCGCTATGTCGACTGCGGCGCGGAGCAGGCGGATCCGCTGGGCGGGGTCCAATGCTCACTCGTGCTCGCGAAGGTGGCGGCGGAGACGCGCGCGGCGGTCGAGGCCGCCTGAGGCTGGGTGTTCGAGGCGTGGTACATGGACGACGGGCAGGTCGTCCTCCCCGCGTGGTGCGCGGACATCTTCCTGGGCGCCTTCGACGCGGCCGCTGCGCGGGTCGGGGCCAGCCGGGGCGAGGGGGGCGACGCCAAGAGCGTGGCGCGGCTCGTTGGCGCGCCCGAGGCCCCTGGCGATGCGGACGCCTCTTGGTGCACCGAATATGTGCGGCACACCTGCAAGACTCCGGGTTCGCAGGCCCCTGCGCGGGTGCTGGGTGTCAGCATCGGGGCGGGGGCTGTGGCGACCCAACTCTCGGAGCGCACCGCGGACGTGGCGGCCGCCCACGCCGCGCTGACGCTGGTGGAGGATGCGCGGGCGGAGCTCGTCCTCACGCGCATGTGCCTGCATGCGTGCAAGGTGGTGCACCTCCTGCGCGCGGCTGGCGCGGAGATCCCCGTCGACGCGCTCGCCGCCTTCGACGAGGAGCAAGAAGCGGCGTTGGAGCGTCTTCTGGGCGGGGCTTTGCCGGCGGCCTGCCGCGCCTGGGCGGCCACCGGTGCCGCCGATGGTGGCCTCGGCCTTCGGCGCGCGACAGCGGTCGCGCTGCTGGCGTTCATCGCGTCGTGCGTCGAGGCGCGCCCGCGAGTAGCGGCCCTGTGCGGGGGCGGCTTGCCGGCGGCTCTGTTGCAGGCGGTGGCCGCCCACATGGACGAAGGGTCCAGGTCTGCGTTTGTCATTTGGCGCGGGACGCTCCCGCGTGACGCCGCTGTGCGGGCGCAGTCCGTCCTCGAGCAGGGGGTGGCCCGGGCCTTCGATGAGGCACTTGGCGGACCGGCACGGCCGCGCGCGGAGGCCACGGATTGGTCCGCAATGGTGGCGCCGGCAGGGAGTGGCGACCCGGAATTTGGCGATAACTCCGCGCATCGTCTTCAAACCCAGCTGTGCGCCATTGCAAACGATGTGTTGCTGGACGAGGTCGCTGGCCAGTTCCGAGCGCAAGGGCAGTGGTCCGCCTTGCGCCTCCTGGAGGAGCTGCGGGACCGCGGCACAGATCACACTTGGCTGTGGCAGCTCCACCCCGCGCGGGGGCTTCGCCCAGACGAGTTCGTCACTGCCGTGCGCGTGCGCTTGGGCGCGCCCATCGCGGAGGGCGCAGCCGCCTGTGTCTTGTGCGGTGCCGAGATGGACAGCGAAGGCCGGCACGCCCTCTGCTGCGCCAAGGTCGCTAGCACCCGCGGACACAACAAAATCCGCGACACGGTCCACTCGCTCGCCTCCCTCGCCGACGGCGCCGCGTGCACCGAGCCGCTCGGGCTTGTCCCGTCCGCTCCAGCTTTACGCCCTGCTGATGTCCTTACATCGGCGGCCGTCCCCAGCCGACTGGCGGCGCTGGATTGGGCGTGGCCTCGCCCGACGCGGCCGGCGGAGGCGAGGACTGCTGCGAGAGCATGCGGCGGGAGAAGCTCGCGCGCTACAGCAGCTTCCTGCCCGAGCTGGAGCGCGAGGGCGTCTCCTACAGGCCCCTGATCTGGTCGTGCTACGGCCGGCCGCGCCCAGAGACTTCTGCACTCCTCAGCACGATGGCTTCGGCGGCGGCGCGGTGGCAGGGCTTCGCGATGGGCGGGCCGCTGCTGCGGCAGGCGCGCGGCGCCATAGCGGTGCAGCTCTGGCGGAGGGCCGCGTGCATGGTGCATGCTTGCCTGCCCCGCCTCTCCGCCGACGAGGCGGCCGCCGCGCTCGCCCGCGGACGGGCGGCAGTGCCCGTGGAGGAGCTCGGGCAAACGGCCGACGACGACGCCGTGGCGGACGACGACGCGGCGGGGCCTGCTGGCGCGGCGGCCGAGGAGGCCGCAGGCGCGGCGCGGGGCCCGCGGCGGCAGTTCGCCAGCACTGCGGCCGGGCCGGGCCCGGCGACGGCCACGGGCGTCGCCGAGCTCGTGGCCGCGTTCGAGGCGCTGGCCGGCGCGGCGGGCGCGGCGGCTGGTCCTGGAGCCGCGGGTGGCGTCGCCGGCCTGGCGGAGGAGCTCGAGGGCCCCGCCGGTGCCCCCAACCCTGGGTCAGGAGAGCCCGGGCCGGTGGCCGCGCCGGCTGGTGGGGTGGGCCTGGAGGCGGGTGCGGTGGCTGGCGGCGAGGCCGGAGGCGACGTTGCCGGCCTGGCGGGGGCGCTCGCGGGGCTAGCTGGAGCGGCTGCCGGCGCGGAGCCCGGCCTGGGGGCTGGCGAGGCCCCCGCCGGGCGCTCGCGGGCCCGCTTCGCGGCCTTGCGGCTCGTCTACTGACGCGGCCCGCAGGGATTGTAGCGTCGCGTGCATGGAGGTCTGAGCCCGCGCAAACTGACGCGTCTTGGATTCGACGCCGCTCGGGCCTGCGCGGGGGGGAAAAAAACCCTCGGACAAGGAGGTGAGAAGCTGGCCATGTGGCTGTGCCGCGCGAGCATCGAACGCCAAGAACTGGGAAGCCAATCCATGGCGGGGGTGCCCAGTGGAGGACGTGAAGAAGTTCACGAAGTCGAATGTTCAGCAGCCTGGGTTCTAGGGCCAGCGCGACACATTTGATACGATGCGCGTCACGTTCGAGAACACCGACGTTCTGGCGGCAACCCTCAGGGAACAAAGCAGAGCATCAACAACAACATCAACACCAACACCAATACCAACAACATCAACAACAACAACAACGCCAGCAACAACAATACCAACAAGAACAACATCATACGTGATATCTAGTCGGTTCCGGCTTCCACTCGTGTCTGTTGCGAGCGGCAAGCTGCAGATAAGACCCTTCCAGCGCCAGATGGGGAGGGCACTACAACCTCATGCACCGCGTGGACTGACATCGACGAGCCGCTGTCTGACGATGAGGCGTTCTTCGTCAGCGTCCGCAAACGGGCCGCGGCCATTTGCGGGAATTGATTTTCAAGGCCTCTACGGGCTTCCTGATGATCACCTTCATCGGCTTGCCGGTGGTGTCCGTGCGAATTCATGTGCATATCGGCGTTCTTCGGGTTCCTGTTCGAGCTGATCGGCATGTTCTCGGTCTTCCTGAAGCCTAGCCTCAACCAGGTCTGAGATCGTGGATATCCCCCCCCCCGCACTCATCCTCTTTCACCTCTCCTTTTCACCCGCGCGCTTAAGATTCACCCCTCCGCATTCACCCTCTCCACAATTCTTCTCCTCCTGTCCTTTCCCAGACCCTTATCCTCCCCCCTCACCCTATCCATCGCCTTCCTACTTCCCCTCTCCTTCTCCAATTCCTTTTTTCCTCACCTGATTCTCTTCCCACCCCTCCTGCTCCTCGCCCCCTGCAGCACCTCTCCCTCCTATCCGCGCTTCTCCCTCCCTCCCTCCCTCGGGGCCCTTCCAGGCCCTGGGGTCGGTTCAAACCCTGAAGCTCTTCACGATCATAGAACGCATTTGTTTTCAAACAACACCTCGACAAAGCACCACCGTGCCGACGCTAATAAACGACACCGTATCACAAGCGACAGTGCTCCTGGACGACGTTGCGTCAAGAATGTCGGGTGGGGTCTCGCTGCGCTTCTGCACGTAACACGCGGGCGTAAACATCAACGCCTGGCTGACTTACCCGTAACAATCATTGCCCGGACAGTTTCCGTGCAGAGGGAAGGGAGGAGGAGGGAGGAGGGGGAGGGAGAGAGAAAGTAAACTACAATCGACACACATTCACCCCGAACGAGTATCTGCCCCGAGCCGATAGGCCGAAAGCACGAATGGTGCTGGAAAGCGACATGTCGAAAGGCACGCTTGAGATGAGGGGCTGGCCAGGCCTGTCAAATGACGACCGAAGAACATAGGAGGGAGGAAGGAGGAGGGACGAGGGAAGAAATGGAGAACACAAGATCACAGAACACATGGTGCCGGGCTGCACACAAACATATTGCCCGACGGCCTGCTGCTCCAAGCAATCGTTCCGTGGAGGGCCAGGAGGGGAAGAGGGAACGAGAGGAAGGAGGAGGCCAATGAGGGAGGAAGGAGGAAGCACGGAGAAGAGGGAGGAGAGGAGAACCCGCTGAAACACTGCGTCTCACGGTGGTCTTTGATTCATACGAGTGCGAACTCCCTGACCCAAAATTTCAAATAGAAAAACGTTGCAACCTCTGTCGCGAAATCAATGCCACCTCCTGCCTGCTTGCTGCGCAGTGTCCAAATGAACCGTACAATGCAATGTCTCTTTCAGCTCGTCCGTTGTACGTTCTAGCGATGTAACTCTGGGGCCTTGATCAACAACACATCAACCAATGAACACCATTAGCAGGGCATCATGCAGCAAGGCATCAAGCTCCGGACCGCCTTGCGCCTTTGGATGCCCATGTTCGCCTGGTCATAGCAAGGCCGATCGCTGCTACAAGAGGGGGATGCATGAGGGGGGGGGCAGGGCGGGTCGGGCTAGGGGGCATGGAAGGGACAGAAGGGAAATTGCCAGGGATAGGAGAGGAGGGAGGCTCGGTAAAGTATGGGCGCCAGCAGTGGGCTTCCAGATAGCACCATAATATCAACGGAAGCGCTGGAAAGACAAGCCAGGGTGGATGGATGCTGGGAGAGGAATGGAGGAGAGGGGCATTGCGATGACAAGGTATGGCATATTTCTGGGAGGCGGCTTGCGAGTGATCTCGGCGCGACGCTCACAGAGATTTGTCCTTCGTTGGCACGGCTGCCATCTATGACTACGCTGGGGGAAGGGGAGGGAGGAGTAAGGTTGACTAGTAGCAGCGTCGGAGATGATAGCGATACTTGCAGCGGTCGGGAGCATTGCACGCTCATTCTGCCACTCGGGGGCCGACTATGTGCTGCCTTGGAAGCCTCTGGGTCCCCGCACGATGAGTAGGAGGGATGAGGCGGACGATGAAGAGGAGGGGCAGGAGCAGGAGCAGGCGTAGGAGGAGACGGAACTGAAGGAGAAAGGGCAGCACGAGCAGGGAAAGGAGTTAGAGAACGATGGACTGGAGGACAAATTATGCAACACGCGGCTGTAATTAAAGCTTAGGGCCGTGTACCCCCCTGCCCCCTTCCCCGCAGAGCGACGCATATCGCGATGGAAGGGAGGAAGAACGGGTTGGACAAGAGGATAATGAAGATGGAGTGGAGTTGGCGTTGGAGTTGGATGAAGAGGAGGGCGAGAAGGATGGCGATGATGATGATGATGATGATGATGATGATGATGATGATGATGATGATGATGATGATGATGATGATGATGATGGTGATGATGATGATGATGATGATGATGAGGGGGAGGAGGGAGAGGAGGAAGAGCACGACGAGGAGGAAGACGAGAGCGAGGGGGACGACGGGGAGGAGTGTGGATGAGGACGAGGGGCATGACGATGTTGATGGTGCTGATGATGATGCTGACGCCGATGATGGAGATGATGATGATACGGATGCTGATGCTGCTGAGAACGCCGATGACGATGCTGATGAGGAATAAGATGATGCTGCTGATGATGCTGATGATGCGGATGCTGATGATTACGATGCGGCTGTGATGTTGATGATACTGGTGATGATGATGACGATGCTGCTGATGATGATGGTGCCGATGATGACGGTGATGCTGATGATGCTGATGATGTTAATACCGACGTTGATGTTAATGATGACGATATTGATGATGATGCTGATGATGCTGATGATAATGGTGATCATGCTGCTGAGGATGATGATGAATTATGACGCTACTGATGGTGATACTGATGATGATCATGATGATGATGGTGGTGGTGATGGTGATGCTGTCGATGATGATGAGGGGGATGCTGATCAGGTTGATGATATCGGCGATGATGACACTGATGACGATCTTGATGATGCTGATGATGGCGACGATAAGGATGTCGATGCTGATGATGATGCTGATGATGAGGATGAGGATGTCGATGGTCATGATAGTGTTGATGCTTATGCTGCTGCTGCTGCGGATGATGATGATGCTGATGATGCTGATGCTGATGTCGATGCTGTTGATGATGATGCTGACGATACCGACGACGACGACGATGATGATGCTGCTGATGGCGAGTGTGATGGCTACTGTTGATGATGCTGCTGATGATGATATTGATGGCGTTGGTGATGCGGACACTGATGATGGTGCTGATGACGACGCTGTCGTTGATGGCGCTGACTTTTGATGGTGCGTGTGCTGACGATGACGATAATGATGCTCGTGACGATGATGATGATGATGATGATGATGATGATGATGCTGATGTTGTCGATGCTTACGATGATGATGCTGATGTTGATGATGATGATCATGGGGATGGCGATGATGCTGTGGATGGAAACGATGATGTCGTTGTTGATGATGCTGACGCGTCTGATGACGACGCTGAGGATGCTGACAACGATGGTGCTGACACTGGCGACGATGATGATTATGATGCTGATGATGCTGGTGATGATGCTGACGGTACTGATGATGCTGAGTCTGCTGTTGCTGTTGCTGATGATGATGATGATTAGGATGAGGAGGTGGACGACGATGATGCTGATGATGCTACTGTTGATGCCGATGATGATGACACTGACGCTGACGACGATGAGGATTGTGATGATGATAATGCTGCTGATGATGCTGATGCTGATGATGAGAAGGAGGGTCAGGAGAAGGAGGAGGACAACGCATAATAAGAGGATGATGACGATGCCGACGACGATGACGACGACGATTACAATTACGATGAAGACGAGGAGGAGGAAGACGAGGATGAGGAACAAGATGAGGAGGAAGAACAGGGGCAGGATCCGTAGCCATTTGGCTCAAGGCCATTGCCCAAGGCCTTCGCCTTCCCTGTCGAGGGACCCGCACGACCCTTCTCGAGTAGCCCTGCCAAGGGTGAGGGTCTTTCTGTGTCTGCGCAATGTCAGTATTGTGCTATCCTTCTTTCGACGTCCTGCTTCCCATGCCTTCATAGCGTGGCTCGATGGTGAGGCAGAAGGTCAGAACCAGAAGCGCGTGTCATCACGCGCAAGTGGCAATGTCAGCACTGCACATTCAAGAATAATCCCTACCACAAGTGGCACTGCATTCACTGCGGCGTTGCCTGTGATGCCCAGAAGACGCTGGAGGAGCCCAGGCCGCAGGCGTAGGAGGATGAGCCTCCCCTGGCCGTGGGCCTGCAGCTGCCACCAGGCCTCGGCAAGGGGGACAAAGGCCTCAGCATCAAGGTGGTCGAGCGGTTCGTGGCCCTCGGCCGTAAGGTAGGATATTCAAGCCTGGCCTCCAAGTACCAGCGGCTCCTCGAGTTCAGGCAGCGCGAGGCTGTGGCCCCCAAGGGGCCCCCGCTCCAGGTGCGGGCCCATCGTGCACATCATACGGTCGAGCACCTTGAGAAGGTGCTGGACACGGCCGTCGAGAAGTTCAAGAGGTTGCGGCTCGGCGTGGAGGACCAGAAGGCCGAAGTTGCGGCGCTCACTGAGAGGCTGCAGAAGGTGGACAGTGACTACCGCGACCTCCTCGGCCAGATGTACACGAAGGCGAACAAGGAGAAGGAGGGGCAGAGCGAGCATGCCAAACTCTCCCTGAACCAGTTGCTGCAGTGTGACCTCTCGCGCATCGACCTGGCAGGGTGCGAGGACACGTTCGGCCCCGCCGACATCTACGAGCTCAGCGAGACGGACAAGAAGGAGGCGGCGGCACGCCAGAACCAATTTCTCAAAGGCGTGCAGGACATGGCGAAGCAGCTCTTCGTGACGGCCAAGGAGACGGCGGAGCGACTGCAGCGCGAGCAGCGCGAGCACATGGACGCTCACCAAGAAGCGGAAGGGGGAGAACGGCGAGCAACAGGCGGGGGCCGAGACGCGCGGGCATTCGGCACCTCCTGCTCCTGGCCCAGCTGGTGCGGCTTCCGAGTCTCCTCTCGCCCGCGGTGGCGGAGCCACCGCCGACCGTGCCTCCCCAGGTCGACGCGCGTGCCAAGGCTGCCGAGGCCTTGGGCGCCGAGGGAGCAGGACGGGATGGGGCCGCTGGTGGAGCTGGCAGCCCAGCCGTCGCAGCTGGGGGTGCAAGACAAGGGGCGGACAATCAGCGGGGTTAGCAGGCCCAGCTGGGCCGTCTGGGGGGGTGGGGTGGCCTCTGGTCCCCCCTGGTTGGCCGCCTGGCCTTTTTTTTCTGGCCTCGGCTTGGCCCCCGCCTCCGCCGTCGTCAGAAACCCCTTGAATGTCTCCCGGCTCCCCTCCTGCTCCCCCTAGCGCCTGGCCTCTTACAGGGCCCCAGCGAATTCGTCAGAAGCGCGCAGCCCAGCTAGGGCAGCAAAGCAAGAGAGCGGGGTCTAGCCAGGTAGAGTTCTTCTGTCTAGAAACCTGTGACACTACAGCTTGGTCGTCAGCGAAGCAGCATTTCCAGGGGGAAGCCATTAGCCACATCGTCGCGCTGCAGGAACTTCCTGTTGACCCATCAGGGCAAGTTGAGAGCGAAGCCCAGCTTAAGAAAGTAGGTTGGCAAACGAATCTCCACCCGTGTGTCCGCCTGCTGTCACGGAGGCTGGAGGCCTCTCGAGTGGTGCGGCGGTGTCGTGCAGGAGCCATATCGGGACGGGGATGCCACCCATCTGTGCCAAGAGCCTGCCGTGCCCGCACCGCCAGATGCTAGAGTGGATCAACGCCCACGTGCCTGGCGGGTTCATCCTGGGACCTGGGATCGATCTACTTGCCGGGTCAGGACCCACTGGGGCCAACGGGTAGTCAGATTCTCAGCCGTGTCGGGGAGCAACTTCAGTCCTGGGGCCTGTCTTCCGTCGTGGGAGGGGACTGGAATATGCTTCGCCAGAGAAGCTTCAGGCCACTGGGTGGGCTGGGCGTCTCGGGGGCCAGATCACCAAGCCAAGCACTTGCACCTGCAAATCCACGGCGAAGGCTTGGACAACGATCGGCTATTTTGTGATGCCTGCAAGTTTGGCCGCGAATGTGCACTCTCGTTTCATCAGCAGGAGAGCCTCCACCAAGCCGCACTGGCCAGTGGTGGTGAAGTTCGAGGGCGAGCCTCTCGATGTGCTGGTCCATGCACTCCGTCAGCCGAGAGCGTTCCCATCGGACGTTGTGATAGGATCCATGCCAGGGCCGCCTGATTCTGATGAATTTGTCGAGTCAGCGCGTTCGGTGTCGTGTCGGGAGTCGCTGGATGCCTGTTATCGTCGGTTCGCCGAGGCGCCCGAGAGGGAGTTGGGTCTTTACCGCGGTTTTCTGGATAACCCGAAATCTTTTGGCAGGGCCGAGGAGCCCAAGATCATGGAGGTTCCCGCTCGCAGGACCTCTGGTGGTCGGTATCCCATTCGCAGTTCTGAAAGTCGTGGGTGGCGTCGGGTTCGAAA